AATTTATCAAAATATTTGTTTTGTTGCGCCGCACATATAGCTACTCGGTTTCGCCATCGCTACTTACGTAATGTGTTCTTTTCAAGTTATCGCTCGAAGAATATAGCAGTCCCATGAAAACTTTATTTTCTCTACTGAGGTATTTACAGTTTTATTAGTTTCCTATGTCTTCTTAAAAGGAAAAGATTTCTTTATGACTGTTTGTTGTTGATACCGATAGCATAATCATACTATGTTTTGCTATTGCTTTATTTATAAAGTATATTAAACGATTTAAATACAAAGAGATTTTAACGTAAGCGAAGATACAGTGTAGGAACCGAGGTACTAAACAAATATAGAAATTTCAATCAAATAAATCACTGTCTATGCAAAATATAAAATATTTTTTTCTATAATAAAGACGAAAAGATAGAACTAAAACTAACAATGTCTCATTTGCTTCATTTCTTTTCATTATTGCCGCAATAATTATTGTTTCGCTTTCGATTTAGAAGCTTCAGAATAGATAAGGTCAGTTTTAATTGTAGTCTTTTAGAGGTTGTCTGCAAGAACAGAGAAACAAGAAGGTACAAAAAAACTCTCATTCAATCAACAGATTTGGTTTTTATGACTGTGCGATGTGAATACTATTGTGAATCTTTGATTAACTATTTGAGGTAATACGATTATGAAGAAGACTGCATAAATCTTCTTAATAATTTGTTAAAACGTGAAATTCCGAGCAGAGGTAGAGAGGTACCTCGAAATACTAGACATGAGAGTTTTTACGTACATGAGTTATGAGCAACGAGTCTACGATGTTCCTGACAAGTGCCCTCGACTTCTATAAACATATTTTTGTATTTTATTTAGCCATAATCTCCTACAATTTGGTAACGAAATGTTAAAACACAGTTCAGTCCAGTAGCTTTTGTAAAGCAAAAATATTTATCTTTTTAGTTTGTAACAAAATAATGCGACAATCACTGGTTATTTATTATAGCTAACACTGAAGTATATTGCTGAAGTTCTTGTCTATTGAGCTCGTTTATTCAAATATTTCTTTTATCTAGCTAAAAGACTCAAAAGAAATAAAAACTCCATGAAATTTCGTCAGACTGAATAAAATGCAGGTCTTTTGGCTAGAGATATTATAATCCTCCAATGTTTACGCATTATTGTTTCTATAACTCTCAAACAACTAAATCAATCAAAAGATATTTTAAATATTTCACGATTTAGGACGAAATAGTTATTATACGTGTCTATAAAATAATTAAAAATTCAAGTTTATAAATCGCAGCTTCACAGTCGTGCGCCAATTTGCAACATAACTTAAAGACGTCCTGCAGTTAGACCATCTAAGGATTGAAAATCTTTTAAAGAATTTTACTTCGTTAAAATAATCAGCAGGTGTCAACTGTGCGAGAAACATAATGGTGGGTCGACTTTATTTAACAACAATTTTTTGTTGATAAGATTATTTTGCTAAGGAATTGTATCACTGGGAAGAAACCATGCTTTGTATATTCTGCAAATAGAATTAGTAATGCAAATATGATGAAATTGAGTTAACCACTTTACCTGTCACTTTACTCCGTAATAAATCAAATGAAGTATTCCATATCGATCAGCTAAAATGTAGACTCCAAATAGAAATAGAACAGGTACCTACGCGATTATTTTATAACTATATTTATATATATATTGTATACTTGACATATAAAACCGATAACATTTGATACTTTTTCGATTCAATATCATTCAACATGAATGCTATGGGAGCCGTAACGTTGTGTTATTTAGGTACAAGGGCGGTTTCAGTTAATAACGCTTTCAGCAGAAACTAAATAAGACCTTATTTGTAAGGAAGCAAAAATCATTCTTTATTGTTGTATGTTCAGAACGGTAGAAGAAATTGATTTTATCGCCAATTTCCCAGAAATTGTTGATGCTGTATTTTTCTATTGAAGTTATATGACAGCAGAATTATTTTAATTTACTGTACTTTACAAATTGGGGGAAGCTCTCAAAAATATTTTCTTTTTGCTTTTTTTCTCAACTTTTTAATTATTCGTTTCGTTTTGTTAATAGCATAATCTTATAAAGTCAATGCTACTCCCTGGTAATGTAGCTGTATATTGCAAACCTGTTCAGTAGTTTCAGAGTTTCTCCGCTACAAAAGTAAAACAAAACTGTACAAAATTATTATTGTACATTAGCTAAACGATTTGAGATTATTTATTTGATTTCTGTTAGAAATCCTCACTTGTAAAGCTGCCCGCTAAGAGTACGAAATGATATCTCATAATATCGCATTTTTAATTGTCAAATTCGCGTCTTAATTATGAGACAAAATGCTTGGATGTATTCAAACAATGATTGATGTGTAATTCAGTGAAGTGAATTTGTTACTCGGATATAAACAGAACATAGACGAGTTCACCGCTGGGACATGTAAAGGTGATCACACCTTTACGAAGTCATTACTTAGCCTATAATTAACGATCCTAAGGGACATGGGAAGGTTGACCATTCATTATTGAACTATTTTGGTGCTAATTATAATATACTTCTTCCAACAAAACGCCTTTTTTACAGTGCATGCATTGCAAAAAAAGTGTTTTTTTGCATTGTAAAATAGAAGAGAGACATGTCAATCCTTAAATTATTATTGTAATAATTAGATTTCATCGCTTATAAGAATAGAATATGAACAGAACTAACTGTAATCATATTGACAATACTTGCTAAATTTAGGCTTATTAACCGTTTTCATAAAAACAAAATCAGTCGAATTGTATTCTTTAAACTAAATTACTCTTTCTTCTATTTCTGTCAAATTGTGGTCAAGCTACGATGAAACGAAAAGAGATAGATTGGACTAAAGGCGACAGTCTCTAGAATGTATTTTTAATATATTTTTGCTCAACCGTTATTAGGGAAATGTGACGCTCCCATAGTTTATCGTGTCGTAATATCCTTTAAAAGTCCTGTCTATAAATCCATCAAATATAATATTGTTCACCGGAAGTGGCATCAAACGATACTGTGAAGATTAGGTCAATATCCCAACACTCAGTGACGGGAAATGTAGAAATGTCCCGAGGGAAATAAGGCGTTGGACAAACGACGCTCGATACTTCCGGTGAAAGATAGGAGAACGTTCTTAATTTTCACCGTGCATATCGTTATCGTTATTAGTTCAATTAATTGAGAGTGTCACTCTTGGAAGAAAACTTTTAAAGTTTAATGGGCCAATAAAGGCAAAAGATACATTTACGATTTTTGGATACCGAGTAGAATTCATTCATTGATTCAAGTGCTTTGACGTAGTATTTGCGAGTCCCTGAATTTGTATATATAACAACATATAAGACATGTCATAGAACTGGTTGCATTTTATTTCTTTTTTTCATAGAATTTAACGTATATATGTGAAAAAACTCAATTAAATGAATCAATGTTTGATAAATTCAGTTGCTACTTGCAAATAAAATTAATAGATTCTTGGAACAATGATTTAAAAATACGATCAGAATCGGACTGAAAAAATTGCTTATCTTAACTGAATATCGAAATATATCGATATCCGTGTTGTGTTAATTAAAATGTTTATTTACTGATATCATATATTGAAGTGGTACAAAGATGAACAATTACAGCGCACTTTCCGAGTTCGTCGTTCAGTCTTTTGTATTACGAAATGTAACAAAAGAGTATCGCTTCCAACTGAGCGATAACAAGTGATGCAAGTGAACCTGCGGGAGACGTCTGGCTATCATTATCCTGTTTCTAATGATGTACAGTCGAGTTCGAGTTGCAATTACAAAGATTAACAAATCCAGATACGCTATCGTAAGCTATCTTAAAGCATGGACACGCATATAACACCTAAAAAGCAAGCCAGATCACCGGTAGTATATAAAAAGTTAGATCGTTTTCCAAACTTTCCCAACAATAAATCGGAATCTATCCGAATCCCTCTCAGAGCTCTGACAGTTTAAGAGTCGCCGCTTTAAGCCCACGTCGATAAAAAATTCGCGAAACTTGCTGCGACACGATATTCAAAGTTAATAGGATATGAGGATAAAAAATAATAATAAAACATGTTTAAATTACATTGAAAAGTGGAAAGTTTTTGCTTATTAGGTGTAAAAGTACACACAGTGAATAATCATTTATTAGTAAATCTAGATGTCTAAAACGAAAACCATTAAAGGTACAAAATGCTGAAGTTGTAATATAGTTGTCTCGGTTGCAACAGACACATTCGTGTGCAGTAGGAATGTTTAAACTCATGAAATTGATCCCTTTTATAAATAAGAACCCCCAAGGACAAAATTCCAATTAACTTGTCAAATTTGGGCATCGCGTCACTTTGTCACTTGAGCTTAGACAGTCTATTTCGCATCCTCTCGACACCCGAAAAGCCTTGTTTTTGAAATCCGATAACAACATTTATCTGTCGTCTGTAGCAGTTGCTACGTTTTATATACCTACATATATGTCACAATATCTATTGTCTATTAATCACCTTATACCACGCCTAAATAGTCCTATGTACAATACTATAAATTGTTAATTTATGTTGTAATCCTCCTTCAATTAAAACTAAAGTAGAGGGAGTACATTTTTACAATCTATACTTTTGCATATTTGAGAATTAGGAAATTTAATAATTTGAGAAAACTATCCTTGAACCTAATTGTCACTCACGTTATTAAAACCGTATGCTAGTTATGTAAGAAAACTCATGTCTTTTTTGTATGTCTATAGTCTTTGGAAGTCCGTATTCTTTGACCTACATTTCACTCGACATCGTGTCTATACGAGCACAAAGCAATATATCAATTTAGTTTTAACGTAATATAATTAAAATGCTTAGAAATTGACCCTTTTGCGAATATTGTATCCACAACGGAATCAGTTTAAGCCTTTTTTCTATCCTATTCCTTTTAAAAAGTCGCACTAAATTGTAATACACTGACAGAGTATGCATGTAAAACACCTGAAGTATGTGTTTCAATATGATTAAAGAAGAGTCGATACCACTTATTCGTATTGAGGTAAGTTTACTATCGTATTTTATCATATTTTGCCTGTTATATCCGTTCTTTAGCACACACATCTTTGGACACTTATATAAGTGCGATACGATCGGTCAATATAAGTATTTGAAACAAATGCGTCAGTTGGTTTTAATTATGGGGTGAATAATAGTTTTGAAAAGTTGAAATCTTCGAAAGTCCCTTCCACTAATGGGAGAAGTTTTCGTCTGGCTCTCAATGAAAGGAAATTGTAATTAAAAATGTTAGGTTAATGGATTTACAAGTTTGATGACGCTACGCCGAACCGACCCGTTTAATTAGTTAATCGGCGTCCTGGAGATTTGACTTTTAAAACATAAAATAGACGGGAATACCACACTAAACACTTACTTCGGGGCTTTCCAAACCTTTAGGATTGTTCTTAAATCCTCTTGTTCATCGGATTTCAATTGGATCTAGGCTACGACCGACATCTTGTTATTCGTCTATTGCGCAAGAGATGCGTGCGGCTGCAGTCTGATAATGTAGGAAGGATGGAAAAAGAGAGCAAGCCAGATGCAATACGCTGTCATTTAAACGTACATAGATTACTTATTATTGTTAAGGACACCTTACGGGTTATAGGGGGTCATTAATAATTTCGGATTTAAATCGTTATTATCTTGTCAGTAATAGATAAGATAAGTTTTAGAACTGAAAAGCCGTAAATATGTTTTAATCTGATAGAACATTTTATTCTATAAATAGATTCTTTTGGTTAATGATCTCATTTTAAAAGTATTCAACATTGCCAAGTTTAATGAAGAAAGTGATTAAAGTGAGGTGCAGGTTGAATAATGTAGTTCTATGTCTAGTCTATCGGCTCAAGGCCTAAAAGTAAATAAAGATGACGTCTGATCGATAACGGGTGGGGAACTTTACAAACTTGAGTGAGCAAAATATAAATTGAGGTCGATACATCTTTAAAGTTTTAAACTATTTGTAAAAAAGTGAAAAGATTCGCTTGCAAAATGTTTTTGAAATCTAATTTATGAATACCACAATGGTAAAAACAATAGAAAGGATTGTAAATTTGTAACGTCATAAAAGGCACAATGAAACGTTCGTAATCTACGCAGCGACTGTCGATTATTTTCTACAAGACCTTATATTTCAAGGAAATTCTCTTTAATATCGAATTATTAAAATTATATTAGCTGCAGCCCATATGTTCCTTTTAGGATTTCTTTGTTTTTTGCAGAAGAAGACAAATCGTTATCACGGAACGTGTGAATAGCCGAAACTTTGTTGTCGTTTTTGATTTGGAACACAGTAATTCAAATTAGTATTAATAATCGATTGAGAATCCAGCTTATAAAGTTTCATTCACAGTCACAATGAACCGTGCACTTCGCATCTGATGGACGTTAGATCTTTGTTGCATCAATTTATAATCAGGTGGATAATATAACCAGTCATAGACAAAGAAGTTATTTAGAATAATCAAATGAGATACGCCATTATGTATTGTTTTATGCATCCGCAAGAATAGAGATAGAGAAAAGGGGGTTAAAGTGCGGGAGGAGGCCTTGTGCATAGAGCACTTAGGGTTCCAATGAGGTGAAGAGGAGTGAAGCGGTTTGCGGCATATTTTGTTCAAAGTTTGTTTATATGTATATATAAACGTCGAATACAAATTTACAGCCTAATAAACAGTAACAAGAATTAAGGTTAAAAAAATTGTAATAAAATCTACACCTAATAGAGAACATTTTTGTTTTCCAAAACAATAATTCAATCTCGGTTTATATTATATACGAGGAGTGATAAATAGATTAAAGAGAGAGGACAAGAAAGTCTTTTATCAAAAGGCAATCAAGATCACTATGTCGTCTAACGACAGGAAGGCAAAGACAGGGACCGATTGTCGACTGAGCAACAAACGAGAACCTGAACAATTACTAGAAAGCACGACCTAAATTTTAACAAAAACAGGACCTGTAGATAAATTATTAAAGATAATGACCTCACCGACGCTGACAAAAATTAGTTTGTTGGCATCAGGCGTTTAATTTCGAGTCTACGGCAGTCATAGAGTACTTTAATATTACCATGACTTTAGAGTCATTATTACGACCATTATATCTAGCAACATTGACAAATCAAATATACCACTAGTAATAACAGTTTTGAACTAATTAGGCTTTGACGTTGTTAATTTAGGAGCTCTGAGACATATAATGAAAATGGCAACTGATACCAGCGCCATTGCTCCGACAAAAAGTTTGAAACGGACCCCGGTAAAGGATCTTCTTTTATTATATAATAATGCTACTCTCTCTCTCACATATTTTTTACAGCCCTGCGATTCTGTAACTCACTTTTCGAACTACCCTTTCCCCCCCCGCCCCCCCCCAAAACAGTCGTGAAGCAGTCATTTTATGAGGCACTCTGAAAAGGTGGGAGCTTGTTGTTTATTGTTTATCAGAATGCCAAATCATAAAATGACTGCTTCACGACTGATTTGAGAGCGACCGCCGATGCGAAAACCGCTGTGTGAGTTCGAAAAGTGAGTTACAGAATCGCAGGGCTGCAATCGTTAATCGATAAAATATAAACATGTTTTCCCTTCAGGGGACTTAGGAGCCAATTAGAGGTTTTATGTCTGTAAATTTGGACATGTTTTGTCTTCCTCTAATTTTTGTTTGGTCGCTTACAAAGACGCCTTTCATTGTTCCAGGCTGAAGAGGGTACTAGCAGAACATCAGAGGGAGAGGACAATGACGTGAGTGAAGTGAATGTCGATTCCTCCCGAGGAGTGTCTGTTGCAACGTCCCGGGAAGAGGATGACGACTCCAGTATTAATGCCAGCAACGCTAGCAAGAGTCCAGGACAGAGGTAAAGTACTTTACCTATTACTGATTGAAATTATATTTGTCCAATTGGTGATGTATCTCAGAGGCCTTTTAAACTGGAAGATAAATCATAGGCTACACCAACTGGCCATGCATAATGGTACAGCTTAATAAAAATACTAAATATACATTAGGAATCGGAAATTCTTAGATAAACAGACGCGTACTTTAAACTAGACAGTGTAATCGTTAGACTTTACCCTGGCCGGAGGGAAATCAGAAAATGTGTTCATGAGAATATTCATTGTATTTCCAATTTTGGAATGGCGGAAATCTGTGTCAAACAATTTTAGTATTTCTGAAAACAGTGAAATATTACAAAATATTGAATAGAAGAAAAATAATGAAAAAAAGCAATAATAAATTTGGATAACAAAAGTTATAGTTACAAACTATAACTATGAAAAATCAGAAAAAGTGATCGTGCCGCGTGTCTGTTGATGGACTTGAAATGCTGTTGATCAATAACCTGTTAAAGATTAACGTTTAAATGATTGTGTGGGCCAATTAATTACTCGATTCACTTAATCTATAAAAGCATATTATAAGCTAACAATTCTTGTAACAATATTAACGACAAAACTAGATACATTTGATACACATATTGGCGAGGTTTGTTATAGTGAATATTTTGGAACATTCTTTGTTAATCAAACATTAGTAGTCAACCCGGGGGATCTCTTCTAAGAGCTAAGAACGAATGTTACATTCAAAACTATGTTTGTACATAATATTTAAGTTATAAATACATTGAGCGGTCATTGACGCCATTACGCTATTGCTTGACACATCTTATGTCACGCATGCCTTCCACAACAAATACACTTTGTAGATAAAAGAAACACATTCCACATTGGCACTTTGTACCTCAAATACATTTCATTTAAACAAGAGATACACCAATGTATGCTTCAATGTATATCGTTATGGTTTGAGTAAAACAAATTATGAACGATCGATAAATAGAAATATCTCTTTATTTTGGCTTATTGGGGTCAGAAGGTTAGTCTCGAGCCTAAGAATAGTCAATCGATACATTCGCAGGCAAAGAGACTGGGGTCGTAGTTATTTTCTCATGTGAAGTCACGATATGCGCTTGATCCGATTACGCGTCAAGGTAATCCGGCCAACACCGCGTGTGACCACTGACTCACTATCGCTTCGTTCTTTCTAAGATTTATTGCCTCTTTATTTTATTGATCTAATTCACATCTAACAGTTGAGGTTTTTATCTATCTAAAGTTTTTTTTACTATTTTGCCCTTAGCTTGTACGGAAATTAATTAAAAAGTAAAATGTAATTTTACTAATGAATGCAGGAGTTCCCAGCTGGTTTCTGCTGACAGTTAGCTTCAAGCCAATGGCTCGAAAGTAAAATGTGCAGTGACGTGGACTAATTAACTACATACTTTCCTATATACCTAAGATCCACCGACTATTTTTATTATAAAATTTTGTAATATTAGATATCTGTAAAACATTCATATACAATATACATACAGTAAGAAGCGTAACTATACCAATATATTTATAAACATAAAAAATGACTTTACATGATATTAAATTTCCTATGCATATTTTATGTTTATTCAATCCAATGAACTGAATTAATTGATAAATTTAAATTCAAAAGATCGGATGAATCCTGAAAAAAATCATATTATATTTTTATCGTTTAGCTGGTTCGAATGTCGGCTTTTAGATACCTGAACATAATTTCGTCTTCTTTATAAATAACTATATTCAATATTAAACGAGTTAAATGTGATTCAAAATAAATTTAAGAGAAAATCTCTTTTATTACGAGAGAACTCGAAACAAGATAGTCAAGAGAATCATGTCAAGAATACTAACGAATCAGTTGAAGAGTTCAGCTGTGCTCATGAAGGATTACTATATTGATTGTCAAGTGTCGATCGATATATTTGTTGCGTCATTCGACACAGCAAAACCTCAGTCAATTCAGTTTCAGAGTTTGTGAAGAGATATTTAAGACAAAAAAGCCATCCTGTGATATTACTGTTGAAATACCTAAGTTTATTTGGTCTTCAGAAATTAAATGAATATGCAAAAACAATAATTAAATGTAATTTCATTAAAACGAATAAAAGGATGTAACAAAAAGCAAACAATTCCATCACAAAATCATTAATTAAATTAAACAGTGTAACATATATCGTTTCCTATATTAAGAACACCGTACCGCAGTTGTATTGACATGGAATTAATAGAGATAATCTCGGCCTTATTTCCATTGCTTGACCTGATCACACAGGGTCTGATTAGGTAGGCAAAAGGTCTACCGGCGAATGTGTTTCAGTGAACCAACTTAATCTAAAATTAAAGTAGTAGGTACCTATTTACGGCGAAAAATTAACCAAGCTTTTTCAATATCACTTTGCAATCGAAACCTAATTTGAATTTAATACATTATTTTTTTAAATGTAATAAAACAACAACAAAAAATAAGCCAAATTCATTATCTTTCGAACTATTTTGAAAGCTTTGCACCATTTAACAAAGAAATTACCTACTAAATTATATATAATTAATTATGTTGATAAAAGAGACGCACTATAATATAGTCGTTCTATATTGGTTTTTGTACACTTTGTAAGAATAAAAATATAACTTTATAAGAGTAGTAATTGGTGTTCTCAGAAATGCAATTTATGTGATATCTTTGTAATAGTGGGTCTACGTGACTATCGCAACTAGTTTCTATTACTGAAGCTAAGCGGTTCTTTGAACAAACTAGTCATAAAACATTTCTTTAATATCGCTGCACGCCCGACTGCTTTTTAATCTCACATTACAAAGAAATACTATATAAATAGGGGCTAACATAGTCTCCAAAACATCATTCATAAAATATAATTTGAGGTAAATGATACGCAAATAATAAAAATAATTGAATAAAATGATCACACAATGACTTAAAAATCCCGTGTATGACAGATATAAATTTCCATGAACGAACATTTAAGTGAGAAACGAATTAATTCTAGGTTGATGAAGTTTTCTCCATTCGCATCAAATACAGCCAATGAAGACGTGTAAGTTGTAAACTGTGTACGAAATCTGTAAATGTTTGCTTACGCTTCTTAGTCGAGCACTAGATGTGGACTTCGCTTTTGGTGGTGGGTCCTGAGTCACCAATCATCAATATCGAGACGATTTCAAGTTGTATCAAATAAGCACTTAAAGGTTGTACAATTTTATAAATACAACATATAATAGTTAATTATATTCCTATAAAACAATTCTTTAAAATTAATTAAACGAACTAAGCACTGGAATTGAAGGCAATGAATAGTCGAGGGGATCTTTTCGTACTTACTGGAATTCAGCCGACAGGCACTTCATTCATAGAGGAACATGCTTGCATGATTCAGCACCCATACCTACCACTGGCTACTCCAACTGCTCACGAAATTAAATCTACAAGAGGCAATGGCACGAAGCGCACAGCGATACCATTCACGATACACAATAGAGCGGGTCTTGTCTAGATAATGCATGTTTTAGTTTATTTTGTGGAGTCTAATCACAAAAGCTGTGAGTTTCGTTCGCTTCGTCAATATTTAGGTCGCGGTATTTTCAGTCTGGAATCAATGAGGCTTTTTCAAAATTGAGGAAACTACCCATCGATACCTTTCATCACTTTTCTAACCTTATCTCCGTGGCCTCTTTTCCCTTTACAGCAAAGATAGTTGTTCCGCGACTCTTGTAATAATCACACCATCTCGTAACACTAGCATCCATTTGTAGGCGACCGATCATTGCATCGAGCTCGTCCGCTCGGAGGTCCGAAGGGGACTCCGAGAGGGCCAGGTCTGACTCAGACTCACGCGGCCATAAATGGAGACACGTGCAAGCTGTCATGGCATACTACCAGGCACTCAGGAAAATAAAGAGGTTCGATTGTATAGAAGAACGACATCATCTTTAACTTTGTATTTAATCGTTGTGTTCTCACTATCCTCTTATATCTAGGACTTCGGGAATGTATAATCGGTGGACTTTGTGTGTTTCTTGTGATTATTGTGCCTACTAGTTTTATCTTTACTGACTTTATTTCCGATTCTTAATAATCGAATCTTTTTAAATTTTATTCTTGTTTGCATTTGAATGATACAAACTGCGAGATCTAGTTGATTCCTGAGTTTAGATTAGTTTAGTTTAGATACGTTTGTGTTTTCAGAGTTCACTCCACGACTGACTTATGTATGGAATTACTTTCCTTTCTTGTATGCCATGCAGCATGATACATTTTAGATTACTGTGTGCACGATAACTAATCACTCTGTCATGAACTTCGCGTATATCAGTGGGGCAAGACAATTTAAAAAATACCGACTTAATTTGACCAATTTGGGTTCTTCGAGGATTTTAAACATTTTATACCACTGTATAAAATGTTTTTATTTGAATTTTAAATTAGTCTGTTCAGAATTACTAATGTTTTTGTCTGATGTAGAACGAAGTCCAATCAAAGATGGATGAAATTACGAACTACGGTTCAACTCAGCTCAGCGATCCAAAAGAAACCGACCCTGAAGAGAGAGGATTCATTCTTGAAGCGGTTTTCAACGCGCCAGATACCGGAAACACAAGAAACAGTAAGGTTTTAATATACTTGCTTGGCAAATTACTCGTATTTAGTTTAAAAAGTTCTAGGGGTGTTCAACAAAAAGTAATAATTAGTATGTATTAGTAAATGTTATTTTATGACGTAGTCACCTTTCAGGTTTATACACTTTGTAATTCTTAAATCAAAAAATCGTTTGAGGGATCTACTACTGCGTCATCATTTACAGATTTATGGCCCCTGAGATGTTCCTTTAACCGAGGAAATATGTACAAATTACTAGAAGCTGGGTCCGGTGAATATGGTGCATGTTACATACATTCAAGGCAAGCTTGAATGGCAGGTTTCACAACTCTGGACTTGTGCGCGGGGGGTTATTTTGGTGAAACAAAGCAACTTTCTCGAGTTTGCCACGCCGTTGCTTGCGTATTTCCTGACACAACTTTGTTATTTGTTCTGCGTAAAAAGTCCCTGTAATAGTGGCTTCATGTTGAAGGTATTCCATCATAATCATCACTTAGCTGTATGTATTGTATATGTATTGACTGCTTTTTCGTATCGGGTCATAATGGTGAAGCCATGTTCTGTCCATAATTATGAATCGAGCCAAAAATCGGTCCAGACCTTCTTGTAACAAACTCAAACAGCTGCGTTTCTGCGTCAGAAAGCATTCTGGGACCCAGCGCACTGTCACTTTTTTCATACCCAAATCGTTGCGTACAATATTATGAACACATCCTATAGACACCTTTTGCTGAAAAACAGATCACACGACGATCTACCAAGACAATGTCATCAACTTTTTTATCATTTGTCATAAATCACTACCGATGTATGTAGAATATGGAGGAGCATAAACCGCTAATGTTGCTTTCGAGTCTTCAATTACCAGCTCGGTCTGTAGTTAAAATTTTTAGAACAAATTCCGAATGACTGCTATTTTTAAAAAATATTTTTTTTGTTTTTTAAAGTCTAGGGCAATGACAGTTTTTATTTATTTTCATTCCAAGGAGAATGTACCGCTATCACTATTGAACACCCCTCGTTGTTTATGTGAAAAAGAAGAACAGCTATAGCAAATTCTAATTGGATTACTTTATTTCGTTTACTTAGGTGGAAGACACTGGATCTGAAGGGGCGACCGGAGAGCACAGATCTACCACTCGACAGAGGCGGAGGAAAGTGCGTGCGCCTAGAACTGTCGTTAACCCAGATGAGAATTTTTACTTCTACTGGCTCTGGCTCATTACACTCTGTGTGCTCTATAATTTGTGGACTCTTATCGTGCGTCAGAGTTTTCCTGAGCTTCAGGTACGCACGTTTCTGAATTATAAACATTTTAATCGAACAAGCAAAATAATACTATGATAATCGAATATTACGTAATACGGACTTCATAGCGGACTTTTCGTGTTGAAATATGCTGTTTTGACTTGTAGTCGAGTCTCTTAACAAATCGAGACTTGAGAGACTACAAAGTACATTGTGAAATATTAAAGAAGCCAGAAAAGAGTAAATAAAAATAATAAAATACTTTTATAAAATGTGTATATGAAATGTTTTTATTGAATTTTCTAGATATTTATTAGTGGTAGGGTTAACTGCCGTAGACTTCTTCAACATATTCAAGTAGTAATACTTATATATAAAACATAAACTATAATATTTATTGCTTCAAGAACGAAGAGCAAATGAAACTAAAACAGCGTTTTTCAGCCTCCAATTCCACTTCTGACCTGAAAGTATCTCATCGTAGTGTACATTAAAGAACAAATCCATAAACGTACAAAAATGTGATTCGTAATATCTACGAGAGACGAGCAACGATGGCCGTACGTGACGCTTTCCTAATGAAATTAAGTGGGCGAAGGAAAATGTTTGTAAAAGAGCTGCCTCCAAGATACGGTCTCGAGAAAATTAAGTAATTTCACACTAAGACCCAGGCCATTTTAAGACGATGATAAAACTTCGCTTTAATTGTTTAATTCACTTTACTGAGAACTACACTGTTATAGCGTCTTTTGTAAAAAAAACTTTTAGGCGGCGATTGTTATAGATCGAATAATAGAAATGTGTGGCTCACACACTTCATGAAAAAGCTTCACGATGGCGTTAAATATATTAAGTTATAACCGGATTATTTGTCATGGTCAGAAACGGTTCAATTTGGTTAAGGCAAAAGAAGTAAGTAGTCTATAACATAAACTGTGTCCCCGAGAGTAGATATTGTCCCCTTGAGACGATGCCGCCATTCAGCCTTTTGTACGTATAAAGGAATCCTTCAGGGAAACGGTTAATGCATAAGATATATAATTTTTATTTCTAATAAAAAACAACTAACGGATATAAACGTCGATCACGCAAGATGTAAAGCGCTGTATAGCCGTCGCGTTATGTAAATATTGCAATAAATTCACATTTATATAACACGTTGAAGAAACAACTCGTATAAAGTACTTTTTTAAATATTGTTATACAATTATAACCAAGCTTTTATTATTTTTGGACAGCTGCGGCTACAGTGGCATCTTAATTGAAACACAATTCTTATAGTACACAACAATTTTAATTTAAATTTTTAAAAAGCTCTGCGTAACGGCTTATTTACAGATGATGTGCCATTACTTCTGGTTAACCTGTGACGGTATCGGCGACCTGGTATTCGCGTTGGACCTAGTGGTGCAGCTTCGCACTGGGTATTTGGAGCAAGGGCTTATGGTGAGAGTAGGACTTGAAACACTTGCATTACAACTTAATATTTAATTTCTGCAGAACAAGATATAAATACAATTTATATATATATATATATATATATATATATATATACAGTAATACATTGTGCAATATAGTGTATTAACATGGCACAATATAAGTATATGTTACTGTAAAAGCTCGAACTGCAGTAAATCCTAAGATATTCCAGTAAAACCTAAGATCTACCAATTCCTAATGGTAAATGTCACAAAAGGTTTGCGATTCGAACTCTTACCACCATTCCGTATATATAACTTTCAAGTGAATAACAGACTTTCGTGAATCGTTAGATTGTACTGCATGTAGCGGCACACTCGATCCGGCTACAAAAGTCTCAACGAGCTCTCAACAAACAAACAAACTTGAAGCCTGATGTTAATTACTTAATTATCTCCGAGTGCACGATTAATTAACTGAGCGAGGCTCAAAATGATACTATTTTAACAATTCAATATTTTTTAATGTTTAATTAACTCTTTGATTAATGAACCACAGTACCTCACCTGACATAATTTAGTTTGTATCTAATACTTATATACTATATGCTATTATAATATGTTTAGAAGAAGCTAGTCAATAGAAGTTATTATCGCGTTGCAGGTGTACGACTCGAAGAAGCTAGCAAAGCACTACCTGTCATCCCGACCGTTCCTTCTGGATCTGGCGGCGCTGACGCCCTTGGATCTGCTGCAACTTCGCATCGGCATTAATCCTATCATACGATTTCCCAGGTTTCTCAAGGTACAACTTTAATTCTACGGTTTGTGCGTCTGTGGTCTTGATGATCAAAGTAGAAATGGTTCATCTCAAGTGAGAATGGTCCATCCAAAATAACATTTCTAATTAATCATTGGTTTTATTTTTTGGTCCTTTTTTAATACTCTCTTAATAATTCGTCAAAAATGTTTTTTTTAAGATATACAATTTTAATGTAGATTACAATTCTTTGTTAAGGAGTATCGAAACGGATAATAAATGTTTGTAAATCGTTTTTTTCCTCGTGAAGCCTTGGTAATAAAAGCCACAATTTCGTCAAGTGCCTCGACGTATCAACGATATCGCTACATAAGCTGCTCCTAATATGTCTTCCTTGATATAACCATCTATTACGCGGTCACAGGACTTGCGAGAACAGTAGGAAGGATATTTAATTGAGCGTTTTACTTCGCTTTATTTAGGGAACATTTTCCTTTATGTTCCTAAATAATATCTCGTCAGTATATACATGGCCATAATTTAAAATATAGGCATATCCTAGAACATGGCTAGGTATGAGAATAGCAAGAAGCTCCTAAATAGAAATTATGTTTGACTCCATTTGGAAATTGTTTTAATCATTTTTGAGTAACAAGAATGTTGTATTTCTATACTTTAGGCGCCTACTGTGGACATGAGCAACCTGTGCCTTGAAGGGTCGAGTGAAGGCCGCTTGTAACTCAGGCTGTCACTCTGCTGAAGCGATGTCCTCGATTTGTCCATTAGGGCTTCTGTACCTTTTAAATAATACACCTCTCTCAACATTTTAAGGCATACTTTTCATCATGCTGAAAATAGCTGATCCTCTGATGACCGCTATGGTTTTTTAGACAAAATAGTAAACCTAATTTTATTATATTTATTTATAATGGAACCATAAACAATAATTAACAAACCTCAATAGAATATGAGTCTATTGAAAGAGAGAAAATAAAATAGTAAATTAAATTAGCCTACATTTTCCCGTAATACTTGTTATAAACTGAGGTAGGTATTTCTTGAATGAATTTGATTCTGCAAATATTTTTTTATCAGTAGAAAGCTTATAATGATTTTTAACCTCTATTTCTAGTGTCTATGACGCCAAGAATCTGTGTGTGAAAATTAATTAAGAGATCTCTAATATGTGGGTTGTTGTTTGCATTGCCTTTAAAGAAAGATGATTATAAAATAGATATAGAAATGCTAGGCTAAGAGAATGAGGAATTATTTATTGTAAATAATAAAGGTATGTTTTCCAGGTGTACCGAGCTGTAAGCTGCTACTACATAGTTGAGTCTCGAACGGTATACCCCAACTTCTGGCGGGTCATTAACCTCATCCACATCCTGCTCATCCTGGCACACTGGTTTGGTTGCTTCTACTTCCTGCTCTCCGAGGCTGAAGGCTTTCAGGTGATTCAACGAACTTCACAAAGTTTTAACCGGGATAACAACTGTCTGTTGGTAATATAATATGAATTTATCCTTTTTCTCTCAATATCTTAGGAAAGCTTTTAGTCTGCCTCTGAAAACATTATACCTATTGTATAATTTGATTAAAAATATGAGTTAAATATAAAAATCATTGTTTTGGTAGAAGACAAGTGCAGAGCAACTCCGAAGATGAAAGCATCACAAGTGTCATAAAAACTTTTTTCATTACCAGTGAAAAGTTTTCGTACAGCTATCGTAAAGTTCTTAATGAATGTAGAAGTTAGTGATCTGTTTAGTCGGAATTCCAGAAACTTCGATTTAATTGACTTTATTATTGGTAATATTCATCTCCTTCCAGGCTGAAAACTTCTCCTTCGCAAGAACTTATTATTTATTGAATTATTGACAAATAACGCCATCGACCTAATTCCGTTAGTCAATGATAATATTTAATTAAATTAGAAAAGCCAAAATTAACTAATTAAACAATTATCAGGGCGACTGGGCGTACCCGCACCGACCCGGTGACTATGCGACACTTACCCGGAAGTACCTGGGCTCTCTCTACTGGTCCACACTCACCCTTACAACTATCGGAGACTTGCCCACACCCGAAACTAATGCTGAGTGAGTACTTTTGTAACATGTGTCTGTGAAAACCTTGATCAGCAACCAAAACATTCCAAAGTTATAGTAAAAGTATTTAATAGGAAGTCTCTTGTGTTTCATAAGATTTATCTCAAATTAATATTTCAAGAGCAACGTTTAAATAATGTAAATTAACTTACTTTGAGTGAGTTAATATTCGTGGATCGTTTCATGTAGCCGTAAAAAGTCTGCGGCGTAATATCCGCTCGGAAAGATATATTTAAAGAAAGAATTGGTTTTTTTTAATTTTCATATAGTACTTGAATTATGAAAGTCTAATTTTTGCTTACTTTTATTGTTAGCAAATGTCAAGGAAATTATAGACGACGTTATTACTAACAAAGAAGTTGGGATGTTATGTATCTAATAATATTATAATTTAAATAACTTTCATTTAAGTATCTAACACTTGTGGCATGTTAAGCTTAACTCTAACTAAAGCATAAAATACTGCTGTTAAAGACAAATGGCAGAGTTGATAAACATGTGATTAATAGTTATTATTATTTACTCAACTAATTGCTGCCTTACTGGGCCCGTCATAATTGTTAAACTAGGCCTAGGTGAATTGTCAGAGCGGAGGTAACGTTAACCACTCACAAGTACTAAACTGTTATACCAGCGCGCTGGGACGCCCCAAATTTCTGCCACGCAGGGGACTCAAGTCCCGACTCCTGCAGTTCAGGTCTAACCGAGGGTATGTGGCTGCCCCTTGATTGGTCAGATTACTGTCGTAATGTCGCGGTTCTATATTATACTATTTTTTTGTATGTACCTAGGTGTAATTTAATAATTTCTATCTTAAATAAGTAGATGAAAACCTAAATAATGTATTTACATAATTAAGATGGCTAAACTAAAAACGTAGTCTTTCCGTTTACATTGAAAAAAACGCGGGTTCTCGGAAAGGGCCACGAGTAGATAAATCTGTCCTGAGGTCATTAAGCAGGGTCACCGGCCAGGGATCGGGTCATAAATTAAGCGAGCCACTATTGTCTGTGAGTTATTGCGGCTGCCATTAAATTGCCGATCGTTAGGGTTCGTCATATTTATACTTGGCCAATACTTCTTGACCATTTCATTTACAGGAAATAGAAGATAGCAGCTTTAATATTCGACTTTGCATTAATTTGAAAATAGAACCTTAATAGGTCGTATTTCGATGAAGGAGCATAAAAATTATATAGCAGTTCAACTAGGAAAAGATATTTATTCACTACATTATTTAGACTTAGGCTTACAACGCACCAGCGGCTGGCCGTGATGCGGTGTGCCGCTGCGGTAGGCCGCAGTATATACGGTCTGCCGTAGCGGCATTTTTTTTTTTATAGAACGGGGGGCATACGGGCAGGAGGCTCACCTGATGTTAAGTGATACCGCCGCCCATGGACTCTCAATGCCAGAAGGCTCGCGAGTACGTTGCCGGCCTTTTAAGAATTGGTACGCTCTTTTCTTGAAGGACCCTAAGTCGAATTGGTTCGGGAATACTTCAGTGGGTAGCTGGTTCCACATAGTGGTGGTGCGCGGCAAAAACTGCCTTGAAAAACGCTCAGTTGTGGAACGGCGGACGTCGAGGTGATACGGGTGGAATTTCGTATTCTGCCTCGACGTCCGATAATGAAACTCAGCTGCAGGTATTAATCCGAACAACTCCTCTGAACACTCTCCATGGTAAATGCGGTAGAAGATGCAGAGTGACCCCACATCTCTACGCAACGCCAAAGGATCAAGCCGCTCGGAGAGGGATTGGTCGTCGACGATTCGAACCGCTCTGCGTTGTATACGGTCAAGTGGAAGGAGCTGGTACTGGGGAGCCCCCGCCCAGAGGTGAGAGCAGTACTCCATGTGGGGCCGAATTTGCGCTTTATATAGTTGCATGCGGTGGCCCGGAGTGAAGTACCGTCTCGCCTTGCTGAGCACACCAAGCGTTTTGGAGGCTAATTTAGCCTTTCCCCTCCAAGTGACCGCGAAACTGAACCTCGCTCGATATGTCAACGCCAAGTATTCCAATGCTGGCTGTGGCTTTAAGAAGAGTGTTTTCGAAAAGAGGAGTAGCGACAAAGGGTGTTTTTTTAGCGGAAAACGCGCAAACTTGTGTCTTCTTGGGGTTAAATTGGACTAGGTTTTGTCTGCCCCAATCTGAGACTCCACGTAGTAGAGTTTCGACTTCAGACACAAGTTTGTTCCGGTACTCATCAACAACTGCCCGAGAAATACCTGCCCGGCCAGTGTAAAAAGTATCCCCAGTGCTGTCATCCGCATAGCAATGAATGTTGCTAAGTTTCAACATATCATTGATAATATGCAGAAGAAATAGGGTCGGGGATAGAACACAGCCTTGTGGGACCCCAGCGTTCACGGGTTTAAGGTCGGAACATGCTCCGTCGATGACGACCTTGATGCTCCGATCGGCCAGAAAGCTGGAGATCCAATCGCGTAATTTCTCGGGAAGCCCATAGACTGGAAGCTTCGAGAGCAGTGCTCTGTGCCACACCCGATCGAAGGCTTTCGCTATGTCCAAACTAACCGCTAGCACCTCCCCCTTGGACTCAATTGCCTCTGCCCATCTATGTGTAAGGTATACAAAAAGGTCACCAGCCGAACGACCACGACGAAAGCCGTACTGATAATCGCTAATCAGCTGGTGGCCCTCTAGATACCTCAAGAGCTGGCAATTAACAATGGATTCCATTATTTTGGAGAACAAGGAGGTTATAGCTATTGGGCGATAGTTGGACGGATCAGAGCGATCGCCTTTTTTAGGGATCATGCCGTATTCCGGCTAACCGTCCCTATTGCGGTCTGCCGCAATCGTCACTCGTCAAGTGCTTCTTGAAATATTGCACATGATGGACGTTGAAGAAGTTGCGGCAGTTAATCAATTTATATCATCGTAGAAAATATCGTCAAAAATACTCTGCGTAGTGTCTAGCGCAAGGAACATGCGATGCCTGAGGCGGGTAGGACGTGGTATTTGCGGATAACCGCGCCGAGTGCGTGGAGGGGATGCGGCGCGCCGCATCATTCAACCGGTGCGGCTCGCCGCAGCTCCAGATCAACCGGAGCGGTTGACGGTTGTCCGCTAGTCAGTGCGTTGTTATCGTGCGGTTTCATGTAATAATCGATGTGCGGCCTGCCGCAGCGGCACACCGCATTGCGGCCAGCCGCTGGTGCGTTGTAGGCCTTAGTGAAGCGGACAAATTAATTTTAAGCGATTAAATGCGACGCTCAATTCAATATTAATGATCCGATTCAATCCTTTTAAGTGATTGGTATTTTATTTGACAAACGAAGTGAATTAATCACTCGAATAATATAAACAGTTGTCCTATTATACAAATTTTACGATTGCTTTAGTTTAATTTCCATGTCATTAATTTTTATGAACAAAATGATTATACGTATAAGCTTAAAGCTGAGTAAAAGGAAGTTTTAAACAAACAAATTAGCTGCAAGATGGAATTCCAATAGTTCAAGAATTACCATATATCAATGCCAACGTTTTAGGTTAAAAGAACAAATAATCTTTCTAAATAAGCTTTTAATCAATTAAGTTCCATCAGTTTTCGGTAAGTCTATATAATCTCCAGTATCTAATGTAAGGTTCATTTACAATTAACTCTTCTGAAGTGAGAGAATAACGATTACGTTAACTGGCAGAGCCATTATCATTATACCTACTCTTTCTACTTTGAACTATAGTCTATTTTATCGAAATACAGTAAGTACGCGCCTTCTATGTGTCGTATATATAGATTTGAATCGATCCCTTTTTATGTCATAGGGCAGAACGCCTAGTCACTAATGAAATCCTATACGGTCGAAGAGGACGAATATAAACTTATTAAAATTCCCATCTCTACAAAGCCACACAACACGAGGGTGACAAATTTCATACCAAACTCAATACAGTAAAGTTAAATTCGTTTCGTAACTCAAATTAGTTGTAGCTGTAATGAGGACGGGGATTTGACATGGATCTGGTAGAATCTGTCAGTTATTAATCAGTTTATGTGAAGAGTAATTTACCTGGATTGAAACGCTTAGTGTTTATATTGGAGAGTGATTTAGTTATCGTTAGTAAAACGTTTGTACAAATGGTTAATTGCGTCATGATGTTGGAGCTTATACCTAAGGATATTGATTTAAATGTATATATAATATGTGTTAAAAAGGGAGATTATCCCGAACGTGTTACGTTTACGTAGGTGTACACGGATTGTATTTATTTTATATTATATGTATTTATATGTACGAACTACTAACCGAACATATTACACGTGGTTTGATAAATATACGTTATTAAACTATGATATATTTTGGAATAATGTTACGTAATCTGATCAATCACTGGTATTAGTTAAGTAACTCTAATAAATTATTTTCTAATATAAATTACCCAACACATTTATGCGCACAATGGCTGTTCATACATTATCATCTACTACATTTTATGCCATATTATAATCAACTACATGGAATTATAATTTTATGATTTGGAATACGTTGTCGCAGTGTGAACTGCGGCAATAAGAATAAAATTCTTCTTATTCCAGGAGGTTAAAGTAATAAAAAATAAAAAAATATCCGCCGGTCAAAATATATAAAGTATGCAATATTGCCATATAAACTTTGGATTAAATTAACAGCCATTGTCATGCACACAATAAAAATGGCGGCGGCAGAAATTTGGAGGCTGTTCGCTTCGCAGCGATAAAGTATGGGTGCGGCGATTGATGTCAATAGTTCGTCCCTAATCGAATCTTTTGTTATTTCTTTTTATTGCTCATCAAAGTCAGAAAGTTTTCGAACAGCCTTCATAGAATCTAACCGCCATTTTATTATCGCTTCCGGCCACGCCTGTTTGTTTGTGACTTGTAACTGTTCGAAAACTTTGCACCGCTTACTTGTTGTGTTGCATGGCTGTCATCAACGTCTCGTAGCTGTTACATTTAGTGCTATTTTATTCTTACAATAACTTTAATTATGGTATATGGGGCCATAAAACGTGTCAAACTATTCTTCCCCGTTTAAAAATCCTTATTTATAAAGTAGTTTCCCTAATTCATATTATTCTATAATTTAGAGGCATTTTTTATATTTCATCTTGAAATAATATATAACCAAAGGCTTCCCTATAATTAAGGAAGAATAGTTTACAGTTCGATATTATTTTAATATTACAATTTTTTTGTTATTTTCAGATATGTGTTCACAATAGTGAGCTACTTGATTGGTGTATTTATATTCGCAACCATAGTGGGCCAAGTTGGCAATGTCATTACAAACAGAAATGCGAATAGGCTCGAGTTTGAGAGGCTTCTCGATGGAGCCAAGACATACATGAGACATCATAAGGTACATTTTGCTATGAAAATTATTTTATTAAAACAGTTTATAACTTACATATACATTAATTGTTGTTTGTGAAGTTTGCCTACCTCTGAAAACTAACTTCTGGCTTACCACAACGTATCTACTGTTATTTATATTGGATATTTTTTTATATTATATTTAATTTATATTGCAGTAATATGTTTAGTTATAAATAGAAATTATGCTTTGAAATCATTATTATTTATGTCAAAAACCGTGTAGTGCGTTCATAAAATGTATAAAATTTATATTAAAAACAAAAATATATAATAACGATAACAATGATAGTAATAATTATATTACAATTAATGAAATTCTGTAATAATCTTAGTAGTAATAAGGTAGAATGAAATAATTGTATTATTTGTATTCTATTTATTCTATCTATGTCTATGATAATAAAAGCCTTTTTTTATACTTTTTAACCAATTTCTGTAATGTTGCATATAGTAGATAATTTTTCGTAAAATAAGGTCATAAAGAAGTTTCACTTCTTACGTGTGTACACTAGTACACGCATACATTTTTTATTGTTATGCTCTAGGTTCCGGGTGGCATGAAGCGTCGTGTGCTCCGTTGGTATGACTATTCGTGGTCGAGGGGTCGCATCCAGGGTGGAGGTGACATCAACACAGCTTTAGGTCTGCTTCCCGATAAGCTAAAGACCGAGCTCGCACTTCACGTCAATCTTAGCGTGCTGAAAAAGGTAACAGCTTTCCTTAGAGCAGGATTTCGGCTTAGGTTAGGTTATTGTAAACATAACATACACATTTGTTTATTAATATTTCAGGTAACAATATTTCAAGAGTGCCAGCCGGAGTTTCTTCATGATTTGGTTTTAAAAATGAAAGCTTATATTTTCACACCCGGAGACTCAATTTGTAGAAAAGGTATGCAAAAAGATCGGAAAATAACATGATTTATGAGGGCTTTATAAAACTCGGTGTTTTTCAGGTGAAGTAGCACGGGAGATGTTTATCATAGCTGATGGGATCCTGGAAGTGATTTCAGAAACAGGCCGCGTCCTTACCACCATGAAAGCCGGAGATTTCTTTGGGGAAATCGGTATTCTAAATCTCGACGGTTTAAATAAGTGAGTTTCGCATTGTATTGTCCATTCGGAACTAAAGTAATGAATAATAAGTTTCGGTTCAAAGACACTTTATTTCTCAAACAATTACATTCACTTAGCGAGAAAATTTAGAGTAAGTTAGTTATGTACATCGTGTTATGAAATTATTTTAAAATAAACTATATAAAATAAAAATATTTGTTTCTAACAATATGTACAATATTTTTTACAAAAGTGCAGTTAGGTCGCATCGATGTTACAACAGTCATTATGTGACAAACTAAATGTAAATATATTAATTATTCCATTAATTTATATTGAACTTTTACGATTTTTCAGTTATGTTTTCAGTATGTTTGTTATTTTATTGGTATGTTGTTAATTATATGTACTTTTAAAAGTTTTTTAAATTTGTAAAAAGGTTTTTTTCTTTTAATCTGGATGGCAATGTATTAAAGTTTCAGATAATTCGATTTTGATCTCAACTATTTTATACATCATTCGTCGTAAGAAGCAAGTAATAGGCATATCTATGTAGTATATTATTCGATTTAAGATCAATTCTTTTTAATTAAGATTTTAGTTTGATTTTTTTTCTATTTTAGGCGTACCGCAGACGTACGGTCTGTGGGTTACTCTGAGTTGTTTTCCTTGTCTCGTGAAGACGTCCTTGCAGCCATGAAGGACTACCCAGAGGCGCAGGATATCTTGCAGACCCTCGGCCGGAAGAGACTTCAAGAGGCCAAGAGCATGGCGCGGCAGAAGCCCAAGAGTTAGTACTACAATGTTAATGTTACTGTCATCATTGAAAGATTTAAAGATTTAAAAATGGTGTTTAAGTTATATATTTATAATATTTATTTTGTATACATGTATTTATATAAAATAAGAAATATAATAATAGTCCTTCTATATTATTACTTTCCAGACGAAGTTAGTCCCGACAAGACGGGAGGCGACGATAGCACTTCAAAGCGAATCGTCCATAAGCTGCGTACCGATGTCAAAGTAAGTTTTTCTTGCGTTTAGGTTATTTCAAACGGAAAACATTAATATATTTTCGTTTAACTTAAAATAGTTTGCCAATATTATAACGTTCACTTATTTTCTATTTGTAATAAGGGTATCCGCAACGCAATCCGCCGATCGCGCGGTGGAAGGCGATCGGGCGAAACCTTGGAGATGCGAGCCATGTCCGACCCCAAAGTACTCCGCCGCATGCCTCGCGTTCACAGCGACGACTCACAGCACCAAGAGGTAAAAAACAAACGAATAATAATATTTCATAATACAAAGATAATGTTATCGTTCATGCTCTCAAACATAGCTGTTATCAGTCTGTAAATTCAATACAAAGTATTTTTATTTCATATGATGTGCCATGTCCAGGTACCTACAGCTAAACTCAACAAGCATCGAATGCTCACTCTATATGATGTTTTACGCAACGCAACCACTTTTCAGGAACAGGCTGGTGACTCTGCGCATAAAGAGACTGAAAAAACAGTATCTCCTCTCGGAGCGGGTTTGCCTCTGCTTTCACGATTAAAACTCCTTAAGGAAAAACAGGTTGGTTTATTTTTAGAGTACATTATACTCATTTGCACAAAAGTAATTTATGAACTACTTAAGTACAGCCGAAGTTAAAATAAACCTCTTTTAAGACTAATTTAATTTAAATTAAATTAAATAATTATGTTAGGAAGTTGACAGCGAAGACTTAATATATAGAATGAGTTCCACGGGGTAATCAACGCCTGCCGACTGACAATTAACTTAAAAAAATATATTTATATTTTTTTACCAATGTTTAAGGATCGAGAGGAGAAAGTGGCAAAGCAGTGGCATCTAACATCATCAGTAGTGTCGCCTCCGCCCCCGCAACCGACTCCGTCCACTAGTTCCGCTCCCGACCCGGAACCGGAAGTCATCGGTGCTGGCCTTCCTCTTATACAAAGATTACTTCTTCTAAAAGCTAAAGAAGAGAGAGAAAAAAATCAACTTACACCTACGTTGAGTAACCAGCCCTCAAGCTCTGACACCATTAGCCCCAATTCTCTGAAGAGCCCCTTAAGTCCAACGATCAAAACCTTAAGCCCGTTTCGAAAAGGCTCAGAATCAAGCTCACCTGGCAAATTTTCAAATTCAAGGAAAAATTCTTCGGGGTCCAGTGACGGAGCTTCCAAACCAAAAGTCAGTTTTAGGAATAAAATACTGCAAGTACAGAGCGACGGCACTGCTGTATGTCAACCGCTTAGTAAAGAAATTACCGATAAACCGGCTGCAGTCGTTGAACCTACCCCTAAAACAGAAAGTAGTTTAATATCAATTCCACATTCAGTAGTCAGTAAAATTAAATCACCAGCTAAAGTGGTAGGTTCGACATTCCGAGATAAGTTAAGATTATTGCAAAATGGATCAAATAAAGACAACGATAGAAATAAATTGTCCTTACCTGATAAAAGTTCAGTTGATGTTACTCAGGTTCAGAAAAAGGATAGTCAGGAGGAAAGTAAAACTAAGAAACCTTGGAGTAAATTAAAGAAAGCTGCAATATTAGGCGAATCTAAAACCTATAGGAATAGTAATTTAGACAACATTAATAGTGAGACACCCAAAAAATGTTCAAATGAGAGGAAAATTGAAAGTGGAAATTTGAGTAGTCATACGCCTGTAATTAACACGGCAGAGCTTGTCAAAATAGATAATAATAACGTAGAGATTAATAGAGACTGCATTAATAGTGGTAAGCCTAAATTATGCGTTACAAGTTCTGGAACCGATCAAGAAAAATCTTTAGATTTGTTAACTTCTTCCCCGAAGAAGACGGAGATACAAGTCCATGAAGCAAAAAAAGTTATTACGATAGGAACAATGTTGTTGCCTAAGGTAAAAAAATATAAATCAATAGACGATCTATCCCCGGAGTATGGAGGACTCCCTTTTGTAAAAAAATTAAAAATATTGAATGAAAGGCAAAAATTAGCTGAATTAGAAAAAGTAGTTAAAATAAGAAGTTCTAGTTTAGATTGTGCAAGTTCTTCGGAAGACTTGCTTTCCGATACCTTAACTCGTAGTCATTCAGAAGGAAGCACAATGGACAAAAGAAAATACAAAAGAAAATCTTCTGAATCTATAGGAAGCCATGAGTCTAATGAGACGTTAGAGAGACGAACGTTAAAGTCTATCTTGAAAAAGTTGTCAGAAGACGTAACACCTGCAGAGAGTCCACAAAGAGGCAAAGAGTTACGAAAATTAATTCGAGCACCAACGTTGGAAGGTTATGCTGCAAGACATTCCAAATTTGCTAAAAGCGTGACTTTCCATCGTCATACGCTGCCTTCTCCACCAGGCAGTGCCTTGTCTGATATAGTAGACGATGTGTTCGAACTCCCAGAACCAAAGAAAGAGCCACCAATACAGACAGAATCATCCACTGATACTCCATTTTCGCAAAGTCAAATCGTAAAATCAAGTCCTGATGTAATTATACCACGTGAAGATTACAGCATAAATATAAAATCTGAATATGAATTACAGCAAAATTTAGATTTTCAATCACTCCGGCCTGAAGATATAAAACTGCCTTCTGAAAAACCGAAAATCACATTAATATCAGCAGTTGCTAATCAAAGGAAACTTCTACGAGGTAATTAAAAATAATAAGTAAGCTAATAACGATACTTATGGCTATATAAGTATTGTTTTCTATCTAGTTAAATGTCATGTTCTAAGTTATTTTTGCTTCTGCAGCATCTTTAGAAGAACAAGAATACTTTGGAGAAGTATTGTTGGGCATCAAACAAGTTATTGAAGGGCATTTATACGAAGTGCAAGGAAAATTTCAAGAAAGGTTTGTCTTAGTTCTTTCATCTAGAACAATGGCTACGAATTTCATTTTATAACAGGTAACTCTTCCAGTTTAATATGATAAATATCATCATAAATAATTTAATATCAAATGATATTTTTTATTTTCCATAGAACAGCTAGAATATATCAAACTTGAAAAGAGAGTCTTATAATTAATTTCATGACTTCGTTACAGATTCGCTAGTTTAGAAAGTGAAGTAAGAAAACGAGACGAAATAATATGTCAACTACAGAATAGAATTCAAGAATTAGAGAGACTAGGTTTGTCGGCCCCATTGTCTCTGAAAACCAGTATTGAGCCCGTTCTTGAAGAAAATGGAAACATACCGAATCTCAATAATGATAGCTCAGCTAGTGAGGGGTCAGATGTTAATGAAGGTTTTATGGTAACTATGTGTCATTTTAGTAAAAACAGCAAAAAACTTATGACATAATAAATTGGTCTCAATAGTTTTTTTTATGAATCATACAGTGCTATTATAAATAATCTATTACTAAACTAGCTTTATAATTTTAGCAGGCATATATAAATTTAAGAACGGGTTTTTCAGAGAGGAGATTCTCTTGATACAGTATTTGCAACATCTCCGGGTGACGATGACAAGAACAAACCGCCTCTCAAATTAGCTCTGTCATCCAGTAAACACGTATCAAATGACGATTTGACTGAAGAAAAGTTAGCAGAACTAACTGGTGGGATTGAACTGTCGAAATTAACATATTCAGAATTACAAAGTTTAGCTGAATCGATATCAAGTAGAACTACTAAAGCTTGTTCCAAGAAAGAGACGTGGAGCGTCAGCAAGTCAAAGAGGCTGGACTTAAATCTAGATGGGAAAGCCGGGACTTATTCAAGGAAACGCGCAGCCAAAGTAAAACAAAGAAAATCGTGGGATCAATATCAGAGCGATCAGGAAACAGTGGAAATGCAGAATTTGACAAGGTGAATATACACAGGATCCTTAGGTACATATGACACAGAATATACCATTTAGCTGTTAAAAAACATTGTTTTAAAACGTATAAAATATAAAATAATTCGAATTTTCGTAACATATCGTACATTACTTTTTAAATCTTCGAGAGAAGTTTTGTAACAGAGAAAATTTTTGTTTCAGATCAATGTCACCACAAATAACATCAGAAAATCGATCGTTACTAAGTCCCGAGCAGTCGAGTCTGAGATCCAGCAGACGAGGAATGCCATTCCACTTTTTCGGATCCCATCTGGATAACACCAAATCCAAAATCAAGAAAACTCTTTCTGTAGATACTGGCATGCATCATACTGGAAGGAAAAAAAGTAATTATATTTTTTTTAATAGTTCAATGTTAAATTTTCTAGTTAAAATCTATTTAGATGTGTCCTGTGTGTGTTCTTTTTAAAACTTCGTATTTCGCATACCCAATATGTGCAACAAACATATTATAAGCCCTATTAATTTCTATTTGTATCCCGAAAGGTAAAAACAGAATTTAACAATTCTGCAAAAATAACAGATATTATATAGTTGTATTTTATTATTTTTGCAGAACAAAGTCGGGACGAGCGCAAATTTAGCTTAGGATCATTTTTTGGGTCACGTCGGGGGAGCGGGTCTCAACAAGAAAAATCGCACTGCAACGATGTAGTGCTGGATATCGGCAGCGATGCCAGTTGGAGCAACACGTAAGACATTTATAAAAACTAACAAGATAGCAAATTATCATTTTCTTATATATACTTATATTTGTATTATAACCATATCAGGACATCGACATCGTCCAGCGATTCTGAGTCCATTCCTCATACCCCAGTATTTGAAGAGTTCGTGGACAGCAAGCGACTTTGTCAAAGAGCGGGACATGGAAATAATTCTTCTGTTAGAGGTAACTTAGAATTATACCATAAAATCTCATTGGCAAAACATAATCCTTGATCAACAAAGCGTAGAGGTATTTGTAAACTACTCTATTAACCATTATCCTTAACGGGAGGCTTATCTCATCCTAAGTTAAATCGCCGCATTGAGACTTACGAATGCGTTACGAAGAATTATAACGCTACGGTTATGAATAGTAGCAAATATGAATTACAAAAGAAGTATGGTCAGGGAAAAAAGTTACCATGATTTCGTGTTAGTAATCTCAGTATTCTATTAAGAGAGGAACTGATTGACCATAAAGTAGGCATTGGCTTATTCCACTGACGGTGGAACATTTTAAGACTTTAAAGGGATTGATTTCGAATGTATTTTAATGATTGGAAAATCTAAAACATATTTCAGGTTTCTCTGGAAGTGGAGGAGACTGGGAGTTAATGATGCTGGCTGATGAGTTGGAGAGGCGAGAAAGGCGCGACGATGGTCGAGCTCTACTGCCTCCCTATCCATCTACTCTACGGGACCTTGAGGAGGTGACTTTTTTTGTTGTGTCCTATTGTGCTGTTAGCACGAACATTTATTTCATTAACATTTGTATTAAAGATGTTTTGGGTTTGTAGTGTACGTAATCCATATTATAGTATAATTTAAAATGTGTGATAAATAAAAATTGTGTTGTGTTTTTAGGAGTCTGACAGTCCACAACGCGAGGACAGCGCGGACGACGTGTCCAACCTAGAAGAGTCGTCCTCGAGTACGCAACTACTATCGCAGTCCCTCAGTGACCACCTCGAAACTTCCTTCACTGAACACAGAAGAACCCCGCACCGCCTCGGCTCGTTAGGAGACCAGGTAACCATAAAATTAAATGAAACTTCAGTTTCATCAGAAATTGTAGGTTCAAATGAAAAAAAAAACCGATTACTAATAACGACAAATTGTTTTAAGTAAAATACGTTTCAGCCGAGGACGGAGGCTTCCCGGATGATGGTCCGAGCATCGAGCCTCGACCCAGCCCCTCGCACCGCACCTCCTCCCCGCCGCGCCACCTCGCTTCGTAGCTGCAGCGACACTCATCGCAAACGGCTATGATCCGCGACCTTACTTTTACCCTTTTCACATACACTACTTACGTGATACATCCACCTCTGACTTTTAATAATGTTGTACGAGTATTTCTTACTATATGTTTTTATTTATACCAAAAAATATATCATAAGTTCTAGTCTTTTATATAAATGGCCTTTTAAGCAACAACATATTATGTAGTGTGACAGAATACTGAGAAATATTTCATATTATCTTTTGACTATTATTTCAAATATTACATTCAATACGCCAAATTAAAATGATAAAATTAATTAAGTATATGCATTTAAGGAACGAACGAGAGAAAGCTAGTTAACCCAACCATAATTATTTTTATTTAACAAAATAGTATAAATTTTAATCAAGAAATAATAATGATGACTAAATGTTTATTTTTCCGAATATGTTGTATACCCTAATTAAAAGCTTATGTTTAGAAATAGATAAAGTAATGCCATTTTAGATCAATACCTGCATCTCAAATTGTACAACCGAAAATAGACAAAACAAGTATTATCTGCTTAATTATATACATAATCATAACAAAGAACACTTTTAGAATTGTGAATATAAAAGTTAACAATTAAATATAATTAGTTGAACAAAATTTTAAAACAAGCGTGTTCTTTTATAAGTGAACAGAACAATTTCTGTAGGTATAATGCGGTAGACCATTTTGTCCTTCGTCTGTCATATTACAGAATAAAGTCCAAAGCAGAACGTCCCAAATAATAGCTACCATTTTTATAAATGAATTTATACCATTAAAGTAGTTGTCAACGATTTTAGTTTAAACTTAATCTTAATTATGTTTCACTGGAATTGCAAAATATGTAGCACAAGGGGTAAATAGCAAAACATAAACTTTAAAAGATATAAAAAAATAATATTAGAAAAATTGTTATTGTACAAAATAATATTATAATTTTAATAACTGGATTTGTATTAAACGAATTTTTAAAGTTCAAGCACAAGTGTTACTATTATATAATAAACATTCAAAAATAGCTATGTGTCAACTGTTTGATATTGATGTGAATTACTCGTAGACCGTAGTATGTTTTAGTTGGATTTAAACACAATTAAATGCTGTTTAGTATCTAAAAATAAAATGAGTGAAAATTTGAATCGATATTTCCCTAAAATCGAACATAGAATATATGTATATACCTACGCATTTGTTATACTGTCATCTATCAAAGGTTTAAAAGATATTTAATTTTTTATCAAGATAATTCGTTTTAGATATAGAACTCTATAATATAACATTATGTGCCAATAATGCAATGTGTAGATTGGTAAAACAATTTAATTAAGGATGTAAATTGTGAATAATTATTAAATATGTACCCTACATAACCCATTTTGTAAGACCGATTAGTACCGTAATGTAGGTATTCCTATTTGTGTAGACCACACGAGACATTGATATTATGTATAATTCTGAAAAATTAAAACAAATAATTTAATAAATAATAGGTATGAATTTATTTTTTAAACAATAGTTAGGTACTCATATTGTATCACAAATTACATTACTAATTGAATCCTTTTTTGTTCGCCGATTCGTTATTATATTTATATTATATGTATTTCCAAACTGTAATATTTTTTATCCATCAAAAGTAATATGACTAATTATAGCAATAAACTGAAATATTTCTTGTGCAACAACCAACTTTTCCTTTAGTTATTTGTTACGTTCATAATAATTAGTAATAATAATTTCTGTTAATTTTAGAAAGAAATCGGATGTAAGGAAATTTAATTTAATATACTTACTTATAATAGAGATTAGATATACGTAAATGAAAGGAAGAAATAAAAGATATTAAAAACCTTATGACATGTTTTTTTCAATGTGTTTCTTGCATTGTAATGTAATATATCTTTTAAATATGGGTTCACCTGTTATGATTGCACAAATACACAAAATGGGGTTTACCCACGGTCTCTTGCGAGACCCAGACCTCGGCTTGGTCCGTCGCACTTTCCTGAAGGGTGGAACGGAAGCTCGCTGGAGTGAGCGAACTACGAAGCCATGAACCTCATCTTCTCTTTGAATTGACTTCGTCACTCGAACGGCTTCTAATGTTGGCAACTCTGATAGCATCATTTGATTCCGTTAACATGACGTGTCGTTGCTACTTACGGGCCTTTTTTGTCGGAAAGGGGTTGTAGTCGATTCTTTTACGCACCACCGGCTTGGGATAGCCTTGTGGAAGTTGCCCACACTAATCTTATTCGAAAATATTTATACCTACATCCTACATGTTATGTATCTGATTACAGATTCTTACTGCCTTTTATGCGAGAGGTGAACTTCAGAACAGACAGAAAAGAAATATTATATCCTCTTCTTTCTATTCTCGTTTACGCTTATCTATGTTATCCAGATTTACCTGAACTGCAGCTTGATAAGTTGCGACCGTTTACAAAATTTATGCATCAGATTCATTTTTGGACTTCGTAAATTTTAACATATTGTTGAGTTCCGAAGATAAAAAAATGTTATGTTTTATTGCATGAACATCATATTTAATTAGTGTGATCTGCTTTAGGGATCATTATCTTTTTAGTTAATATTCCATAAGAAATCTTCATTAATTAAAATACCAACATTTTAAATTTCAGTTTTAATGAAAAGTATGGTATCCCTGGCACATGTGGTTGCATTGAGTGTACGGTGTACCCATGTATAGGCAGCGGCACGTAAGTCTAGCGCTGGCCGATACGTGGAGGGGATTGCTGCGTATGTGTGCTGTCGCGCGGGGAACGGAATGCGACTGGAGAGCCAATCGAAACTCTTGATTCCGCTAGCCTCCTCAGGTACCTTATTTTTTACTTTTGCGCAATAACGGTCAGCGCTAGAGTTTCGTGCCGCTACTTGTAGCAATAGTGAGGCCACAGGATTTTAAAAAAAAATTAAAATCATTTAATTAATTGGTAAGTTATCTAGCATATACAAATTACTCACATATTTGAAAACAATATATTTACTGTTCGGGTCTCATCAACATCTTCTTTTTCTTTAATTAATTTACGCACAAAGTGCTCACGAACACTTGTCAAATAAACCATACTATAATAATAAAATATAAATCAAGGAGGTGAAATGAGGTATGGGGAAATTCATATTACAACTAGTGGACCCCACAGACGTTGTCCTGCATGATATTTAAAGCGATTAGGATATTAAGCAAAGTATGAAAGTACCAACTGCAGTGCCATCTGCCGGGCTGATTTGTGAATCTAAACCATTCCCAGATCCCCTTGAACACACACAAAAAATTTCATCAAAATCGGTCCAGTCGTTTGAGAGGAGTTCAGTCACATACACACGCACAGAAGAAATATATATATTAAGATTTACAATATCTATCTGGCAACACTAACCTGTGGTAGCATGTGGTGGTGTGGTACTCGTTCATATTATAATTTTTCAAATGGTATTGTTGAGGCATGGTGACGTTTCACGTTTTTCTTCCTCTATAAAGACCAACACTTTTGATGTCAAACTTCTTACTTGAAACTATCTGCCATAAACTGATGTCATTGTCAATCTGTTTTGTTACTTGTTCGTGTCTTTTTTGTCAATGTATCAAATGTAACCAATATATTTTACTGTTATATTAGCTTATTAATACCTTATATTCTTTCAATATTTTCTCTTATTTCAATTAAATTAAAATTAATAATAATAATATTATTCATTAATTTTATTTTTTAACACTTTTAAAGTTTAAACTAGGGATGTGAAAAAAAATCGATTTTTTACGCGATTTTTATATTTAAAATAATCGATTAATACTCGATTGTTTTTATAATTGAAAATCAATCATAATCGATTTTTTATCTGCCACCTCCCGACATTATGTCTGATCTTTTATAACCCGGACCTTGAACTATTAGGGATATTCGATACACAACGATGTTTACAATGTGATACATTGAATCCGATTCTTTGAAGATGTATTGATATACTCGATACATTGATGTTTTTTTGTAAAACATCAAAAGGATGATAAAAGCAGTTAATTTTACAAAAACTCAAGTTTGAATGGAACACTATAATTTAAAAGTAAAATAAATTTATTCAGCAGCACAAGACTACATACCTACAATTAAAAAGACAACAAAAATACTGCAATGTGCTACTGAAAAGGAATACACTCAGCATTTATCAAAATCTATCAAAACGAGATTAAGTTAATTTCGATTTTGATTATTCTTAAACGTTAATTTGTGTTTATAATTTTTATTGTTTATTTTTAATTTAAAAAACCATGAAAAATAAAATATTTAGGGTGTTTATTTTGAAATTAATTCAAAAATTAGGAAAAAAATCATAATCATTCATGCTAAAAAAATAATCGATTAATAAAAAATCGATTTTTTTATGCAGAATATCACATCCCTAGTTTAAACACTTGTTTCTCGCATCACTCCTTAGGGGCCGTCTCCACAAGCGAGAGAATCGCGACGATACAATCGTCCTGCCACGCATTTCTATACAATATCATAGAACGTGTCTCCACACGGCGATCTTAGCGCGGCGATGCGACGGGTGGTTGAGTGCGAGCGAAACGTCATTACATCGCTGCGAGCCTGTTGCTACTAATGGCGCGCACGTCGCGCACTCGCCGCGGAACGTGGCGCTCTCGCAGAGAGCGCGCGACGTGCGTGACCATACATCAATAACAACAATACATCCATAGTAAATAATTATTTTATTGACTGATTTAGACACTACTTATTTCGGTCTCGTCTTGCACCACTGAACTCTAAATGAACACTGAACAAAATAAGAGCACAACGTGTCGTCAAAGAAACGCGGCGATTCCGTTACGAGTCGTTGCGGATACGCTGTGATTCCGTTACGAATCGCGACGATACGCTGGCGGAACAATCGCTCTTTCGTGGAGATTACCCGACGATAAAAACGCGGACTCGTCGCGATTCTCTCGCTTGTGGAGACGGCCCCTTAATGCTTTCGGCGTTTTTTCTCACTTTTAATCAGTGTTACCAACTTGAATTTTATCGAGTAGGTAGATACAATTTCAAAAGTTGGTAGATTCCAACCATCTTCAATTCGAAAAGTAGGTAGATCTACCAACTATAATTTCGAGTTTTATATGAAATCCTACCCTAAGATTTGATACCTTTAATTCATTTTTTTCGTAAAAAAGTAATCACTAATAGTATTATAGTAAAAAAATGAATATTAACTAAAAATGGACCATATTCATAAAAAAATGAAAGCATGTTATGGATTGAAGAGATCAATCTAACATAATTTACTTGACAATGGGGGCCGGAAACTGAAATGCTTAATCCAACCTGCATATTCTGGTTCTTTTTCCCAGAATTTTTAATATTTTTGATCATAATGAATTTTAATCAATTTACGTCGAGAAGAATTTTCTTCATTTTCACTTTCATTAGTACTAAAATACTTTATTTAATAACATTAAACGCTGCGTTTTACATATCAAAATACATAGTTAGTTCATGAGAGTCTTGAAGTTCATTCATTCATTCATCGAAACATCAAGTCATTAGTCGAAACTTGCAATAAATAAGCCAAGGTTTCTTATTGGCTGATGTATATCGATATATTTCAACTGTCAAGAACGCAAAAGCGCGCTGTTTTTAACTTATTGTGTGCATAAAAGAAAATTAAACAATATAAAAAATATAAAAAATTTATAAACAAAAAGTTGGTGTATTTTCTTTATAAATTAGTAGATTTGAGAAAAGTTGCTAAATTTACCGAAACACGGCGTTGCGCTCTGCTTTGCAATTAAACATACAGAATGACGTAATCAAAAAGGCGACTTCAGTTCCAGTTTTCGCCACTAGGCCTAATAAGTTTGTAGCGCTATACGTCACACAATACAAATAGACATTAGACGCACGTTCAGTGATGCCAATTTAGCGACTTTGTCGCTAGATTAAGTGAAATTTTAACTTGAAAAGCGACATTTTATTTCAATATAGCGACTGAAATAATTTAGCGACATTTCTGGCGCCTTTCCAAACTTGTTTTTTTTAAATATTCCACATGATTTTATCCTAACAGGCTTTGTGAACGCGCTACTCAATGTCAAAGTACATGTTATTGGGTGTTTACTCTGGGGTCTCTTGTATGGTCCCAAAAATAATCCATCTATCTATAATGAGTCAGTTAAAGTCGATTTTTCATATTTTTCCAATTATAGCACTTGAGCGTATTATGCGGCATAATGCTCAACGTTGAATGTTCCAACTACAGCAACGCTTTGCACAATTGAGCACTCTCAAAAGTAATGCTCTCGCGTGATACTCGCAATCAATACCAACTCAGTGACAGAAAATTGACAAGTGTTTTTTCTTTAAGTTGGCAATGATCGAAATTTTTTTAATATATTATCGTTATTAATATAATTTATTATTGAAAAATTTGTAAGGCTTTCGTTTCGTCGTTTCTCATCCAAGTTTTCGTGGTAAAGAACATATTTATGAAGATGAAGAAGATGACACAATCTTATTTGTTTATAGGTATTTACGAGAATAAAAATAAAGAAAATTACTCAAATAGTAAAAAAATATTAATGAAATAATCAAAATCCAAATAACACAATAAAATAAGCGTAAATAGTTTTTAACCAATTATTATTATACATTAATGAGGTTGCTAACTCTATGACCTTTTTTTTTTCAACACTGTACTTAGCTTAGCGCACTCGGCTGATGCATTTGAAAACTAATTCAGTTCCAATTAAGCTTGAGCATAATTCGGCATTGTGCGCCACTGAGTCACATTATGCTCTATAATTGGAAAACTAACTGTTTATGCGAATAAACAATATAATACCTGAATTTTTTAAGTTTTTCTTCATACCAAACAAACTTTCATTATCTAGCGACTTTTAAGTTTTAACCTTCTGTCTAGCGACATTTGCTTTAGTCGAGTTGGCAACACTGCGCACGTTTTGGTAATTACTAATTAGTACTTGGTAGTATATTTTTATTAGTTAAATTACTTAAATAGTTAGCATAACTTTTTCTTCTTGAAATCTCGTTGAATCTATAACCTGTAATATATAAAGTACTCTATTCTAATCAGTCATAATTCATATATTTGTTTCAGATTACAGTATCTAATTTTGACGGTATAAAATATTATATAGTTTGCTGTTTTTGTTACTAATTAATAATTACAGAATGGAGGTAGTTAAATTTAAATGCGACCATACCATTTGGTGATTTAACTCTGATATTTGATGTTACATTTATAAGTGATTGTGAGCGTCAGTGATCATAAGTTATATGTATTGATTAAGCATTTTTCTAGATTTACGTTTTTTATATGTAAGTATTTCCAGTTTTCTAGCTATATACATTATTTTATCCTTGAAGAAGTGACTATTTCTTGCAGGGAACAAACATCGGATCTGGTGACCATCTGCCATATCTCGTTCTAAGCAGTTTTGCAAAAGGCTTTTCTCTTGTCTTTCTTCAAAGGAAGTCTCTTGAAAATCTGCTAAAAGCCTCAGTTTATAATCGTCTTCACTATTTAAATGTTCTTCTTAACATTTACATTTGACGATGGTAAAAATTCAATTGTCTATTTTTATTGGATTTTTAAAACTATCGCAAATTGTAATTGTTTCACCTCTTGTTATTGTGTTATGTACTTTATTCTATAATAAAAATAAGAACAGTATATTATAAAAGCATTTAAGATTTAAATGTTTGTAAATTTTTAGCCCTCTGTTAGTTGATGTTGATGCTGACAGGATAAAAACGTGAAACCCATAGTTATTGTATAATGTAAAATAATGCATGTTTCATGTCACTTTATATAATACAATAACTATTTGTTTTTTTTTATACCTTTCAGTTTAATTAAGTTTAGACTTAGGAGATATTGAATATTAAAGTAATTGAGGTAAGACTGGTTAAAGGTTTTTGAGATTATAAAATAACAAAAAAACATAAAAATGAATTCATGTACAAATAAATAATTATTTATGTGTAGATGAATAGTTCGATGTAACAATTGTATCCATAATTGTTGAGATTATTTTATATTAACTGTGTATTATATAAAAACAAAATACTATTTTACAAAATATATATATAACTTTAGCAGTGGTCAAAGTCAAAAAAATGTTGGTGTTTTATCTTTGGTGAAACTTGGAGTCATAAAGTCAAATATTATATGACTATGAGTCTAAATTTATTATACCTGTATGTGTGTGTCTAATTTGACAATAAGAAATATTTAATAAGTGATGCATTTATTGGCTTGAAGGCTCTTATAGAATGTTAATGCATGACTACTTATCTCAGTATATTAAATTTAAAAGCCAATATTCCAGACATAAAGTTTCCATGTGATAATGGTACAAATTAACAAACACAAAACTTTCCTTTATACATATAAAAATATATAAACTTTTTGTTTTTTGGTCTTTTCTAAACCTATTCAAAACCAATTCTATTTAATTGTTATAATTCAGGGTAATATTTGTATATTATGAATTTATGATTAATAATTTTGTGAATTATTTGGGCTTTAATCGGTCTATACACACTACATTTACATTATATTGTAGATAAAATGAGTGATTCAGAAATTCCACCACCACCAAAAAAATCCAAAGTGATGGTAGAAAAGGAGGAAGACTTCACCGAGGATCCCGGTACTAGTACTAATGAGTTTGTGGTTGATGACAAGTACAACAACTATGTGACTCCTGAGGAGCTACAGAAATTGAAGGAGTTTAAGATTCTCGATGAAGTTAAGTCGGATGATGAAGAAGCCGGCAGTGATGGTGGAGAGTCTGATGTTTCCCAGGGTAATATAATTAAAAATAAATTAAAATATCCAGGGTTTTATATCTAATAAAAGGTTACATAAATAACTTTCAGAACTTCCGGAGGAAGAGATTGAAAAGATGTTAGAGGATGATCTTCCTGATGATTTCAAAGGAGCACCAAAACCAAAGGAGAAGCCATATGTTTTGAGGTCCAAAATAGTAATGGAAGGTTAGACTTGGACTTGGCATCATACAATGCTAGAAATGCAGCATTGGATGTTGCCTGACTTTTTTAATTATTGTTATTAGTTGAGATTTAAGTTCATATGTAATAAAAATAGATGTATAAGCTACGAATGTGTATCAGTGGTGGTTAGGGATGTGACATTCTGCATAAAAAATAGATTTTTTATTAATCGATTATTTTTTTAGCATGAATAATCGATTAATAAATAATCGATTTTTCTTACAAAAATAATCGTTTTTTTTTATCAATCGATTTTTTTCCTAATTTTTGAATTAATTTCAAAATAAACACCCTAAATATTTTACTTTTCATGGTTTTTTAAATTAAAAATAAACAATAGAAATTATAAACACAAATTAACGTTTAAGAATAATCAAAATCGAAATTAACTTAATCTCGTTTTGATAGATTTTGATAAATGCCGAGTGTATTCCTTTTCAATAGCACATTGCAGTATTTTTGTTGTCTTTTTAATTGTATTGTGCTGCTGAATAAATTTATTTTACTTTTAAATTAAAACTTGAGTTTTTGTAAAATTAACTGCTTTTATAATCCTTTTGATGTTTTACGAAAAAACATCAATGTATCGAGTATATCACCATCATCAATACATCTTCAAAGAATCGGATTAAATGTATCGCATTGTAAACATCGATGTATATCGAATATCCCTAATAGTTCGAGGTCCGGGTTATAAAAGACCAGACATAATGTCGGGAGGTGGCAGATAAAAAATCGATTATGATTGATTTTCAATTATAAAAATAATCGATTATTTTAAATATAAAAATCGCATAAAAAAATCTATTAAAATCGATTTTTTTATTAATCGATTATTTTTTCACATCCCTAGTGGTGGTATTTTGTTTGCTGAAATCTAGACATAACATAAATGCTGGCAAGCTCTGTACCCTTGTACCGCGACCCCCTTACCCTGTAAGGTAGTGCATTGGTGATGAGTTTACGCAGTGTGATTGAATTATCTACTGTTTGCGGCAGAGAAAGGCACGAATCCGTTCGAAGTGCTGCCTTTGGACTGGATATGCGCGCGTCACATGAGCGGCATCCCGGTGTACATGCACCGACCCACGCGCGTCGTCTCCCTCGCCAAGCCTTACTGCCTGGGCAAGAGCAACATACAGGTGATCCTCGTGATTTACGTCTGTCATATCTTGTGATCTTTTTTATTTTATTAAATCATCAACGTAATCACCAAATCATGGAATTCTTTTGTGAGCTGTTTCGTGGTCATTCAAGCTTCGATTCTTTCACAAACACCATTTTTTTAAGATTGCCCAAATTTTTTAGCGTCACGACATCCCTATAAGTGCGATCCCGTGCTTGGCGTATCGGCGCGCTCTGGAGGAGGAAGAGAAACAGAAAGAGTTAGACAAGAAGATACAAGAACAGGTCGACATTTGTAACGCTAAACTACACAGCGATAAAGATTCGTTGTCGTCACAGGCTTCCGGGACGGCCGATCGAGCCGTGGACGACCCCGTCCCGGAAGTTCCCGTCGGTGACGATGAAAAAGATGACGACACTGTTGCCGGATGTCCCTTCAAAGGAATAGTAATAAAGGACGAACCTGAAAGCCAAGAGAAGGACAAGGAGAGCGAAGAGTCCCTAAAGATCCAGCCGGTGATAGTGCCCGGAGGAAGAGCCGTGCCTCCGCCCAGGGTAGAAGCGGTGAGCTCCAGCTGGCGCACGCAGCATCTCACGCCCGAACACATCACCCGGTACTGCGAGGCACTTTTCCACTTCAAGACCGTCCAAGTCATGCACTTCAAGTGAGCATCTCCTAGCTTACCTCGCTCGTCCGTTTTTAATAAATTTGGAGAATACAATCGTTTCTCTGGAAATATTTCGTTTCAGTCGCTGGGCGGATCGTCGCAAGTACACGAAGGCCCGTAAGGCGCTGCAGTACCCGTCTCTGCCCGAAGGCACCAAGCTCATCACCATCCCCACCACGGGACAGGACGGTAATGAAACTTTTCGGCGTTAACTGCCGAACGAGGATCGCTCCTAGATCCTAGAACTGTATTATCTGTCTGTCTTTTCGTGCCTCAGGCGTCCGCGGCAAGAGGGACTGGGTCATGAACATGAACGGGCGCTGCTACCTGTCGGTGTTCCACGAGTACGTGAACCGCGCCCTGCAACAGCAGCCCGCGTACCACTTCACGCAGCTGGAGAACGCCGCCACACCCTACCAGGCCACCGTGTTCATAGGCGACATGCAGTACGGAGTCGGCGTCGGCAGCTCCAAGCGCCAGGCCAAGGCGGCCGCCGCCCGCGCCTCCATCCGCATCCTCATCCCCGAGATGAAGGACGAGCTGGCCGCTCCGGACGCGCCCGAGCCGGACTTCTCGTTCTTCGACTACGTGGGCGTCGAGGACCCGCGGGTGGCCGAGTTCTGCGTCGCCACCTGCGAGCCCTCGCCCCACGCCATCTTGCGCACGTGCCTGCTGCGCAACTTCGGCGCCGGCGACCGCCACATTGACGTCACGGTCGGTGCCCCGCCCTCTCCGCCCCCCGCGCTCCTCGCCCCGCCGCCTCTGACCGATCCCTCGTTGCAGGTCGACAAGCTGGAGTACCAGAAGATCCAGCTGACCATGAAGGTGGGCAAGCACAGCGCGGTCGTGGTGTGCAACAACAAGAAAGCGGCCAAGCAGCGCGCCTCGCAGGCCATCCTGCAGTCGCTGCACCCGCACGTGCGCTCGTGGGGTTCGCTGCTGCGCCTGTACGGTTCGCGTTCGGTGCCCTCGTGCGCCGAGAGGAAGCTCCACGAGCAGCAGATCACGCTGCTGCAGGAGCAGGCGCGGCGCCACCGGCCCAACCGCGCCGTGCTGAGCAAGCTACGCCAGGACATGCTCAGGCTGGAAGAGAGGGATCGGGCTCTGGCGCCCGTGGGCACGCTGCTCTTGCGCCCCGCCGACGCGCTGCCTCAGCACTCGGGCTCCAACCTCAACAACTTGCATCTCTAGCGCCACGTCTTACTATCATTAAAATACAATAAAACACGTATATATATTTTTCTTGTTTAATAAATTAACTAAATTGAGTATTTTGTACAACAATTATTATATATTAAGAAAAACTATATCTGCGATAACAGTCGTAGATCATTTCAACGCGCCTCTTCATGTCCATTATTATCTAAACATTACCGGCCTAAATATGAAACGTGGATTAAGAATAATACCGTATTTGTCACCGTGGAAACCATTTCTTTTTTTTATTTATCTATTTATTAAAGTACGCTACATATATAATGCATTTTCTACAGTATACGTTACTATCTATCCTAACATACATGATAATTACGATGAACATTAATTTTACAAAAATAAAAATGCAATAACAATATTACACTTCCATTACTTGTAAAAACTCGGTACTATAATAAATCCATCTTTCACATGGCCGACTACATTACGAGATGTAACTTAAGACAAATTGTACATTATACAATTTAATGCAAAATATAAGAATGATTCATGCTAATCCTTCAATAGAGTAGTGTTTATGTAAACATATTATGTGTATATTATAGTTATAATATCTTACAAGTGATACCACTCACTTCAAAATAAATTAGTCACCGTTCTTAATGTCTGTTGTTATAGATGGCGCTAAATTATTGGGTAACAAGGTAACATTTTAAAATAATGGTAACTATAGCTAAACATCTAATTCGAGGGGGGAGATTTAAGGAGAGCCCCATGAGCTGGACTGCGGATGGGTCAGAGCCAGCCTGGGTAGCGACTCTCGCTAGGGCTCAGTACGTTGGAGATGTCTGCCGACTCCTGCGTGGGGTTAGGTACCTGAGGACAATGGCGCATAATTTAGAAAATTATATAAATATTTTTTTTTTACGTTAAATCTAAAACATAGTTGTAGCTTACCAGTAATTGAAGGAATGAGAACTATTTTCGAAGTAATTACTTGCAAAATCAATTTTAAAAATGCTTTTACCATAGAAAATTACACAAACGTAAGTAGATTAATATTGTAACTTTTCTGTTTGACCGAAATTATAGATCTAAAAAAATAAGTTATGTTGAGAAAGAATTCATTCTAACTTTAAAATAACACCATTATCAATATTCGAACGAACGCCGTTTCAGAGAATATAATATATGTACTTACGTTATACAAATTACTTGATATGTTACTGGGGGCTTTGTATTGTACCGATACGGCTTCCGTCGTACCAGGACATTCACCATAAATATACAATGCCTATAGTTACTATATTACGACGCAGTTGTATATACTGCGTAATAGAATATTTCATAGTGCAATGTATTTGCATCATTCAATGCCATTCAGTACTTGAGCATTGAACGATGTAATTTATTCTTAGAATTTATGAATTGTGTTTTGTTGTGGATCAGTTTTAGGATTGTTCAACAATGTCGAAGATTGCTCTTAGCGAGGCGGTAATAGTGTCTGCTGTCCGTACTCCGATCGGATGTTTTCGAGGCAGATTGTCCACTCTCACCGCCACCGAACTAGGCGGTATGGCCATTAAGGGCGCCGTTGAGCGGGCCCACATATCACCCGAAGAAGTGCAAGAGGTACTCATCGAGACGCGTGTATTATTTCTAAGAACCAGATAATAAAAACAGTCTTCGTATCTTTGATATTTTGTATGTTTTGCAGGTTTTCATAGGCAACGTGTGCTCAGCGTATTTGAGACAAGCGCCAGCTCGTCAGGCTGCAGTTAACGGCGGCCTACCTGCAAGCACAGTTTGCACCACAATTAATAAGGTGTGCTCATCGGGTCTTAAAGCCGTGACATTGGCTGCGCAAGCGCTACAGACTAGGACTCACGATGTGGTCCTAGCCGGAGGTATCGAGTCCATGTCGAATGTTCCGTTCTACTTGCGGCGCGGTGACACCCCGTACGGCGGGCTGCAACTCGTGGATGGCATCCTTCACGACGGCCTGACTGATTCGAGCATAACATACACATGGGCGACTGCGGCGAATACGTCGCCAACAAGTTTAAAATCCCGAGGTGCGAGCAGGACGACCACGCCATTGACACTTACGAGAGGACTATCGCTGCCTACGAGGATAACGTTTTCGCGGAGGAAATTATCCCCGTCACGGTGCCGCAGACGAAGGGAGCGCCGGTTGTCGTGGCCGAGGATGATGAATATAAGAAGTTCAATTTCGAGACATTTACAAAATTGCAACCGGCATTTCAGAATGGAGGCACGATAACTGCTGGAAACTCGGCCAGTCTTAACGATGGAGGGGCTGCCGTGCTGATGATGACGTCAGAAGCTGCCGTCAGACTAAAAGTGGAGCCGCTGGCCAGGGTAGTGGGGTACGCGGACGCCGAGAGGGAACCTATCGAGTTTCCTGTTGCACCGGCTGACGCTATTACTAAACTACTAGAGAAAACCGGGGTTTCAAAGGAGAGTGTATCCCTGTGGGAGATAAACGAGCCGTTCAGCGTTGTGGGGATCGCTAACCGGCGTATATTGGACTTAGAGGCAAGCAATGTCAACGTGCACGGCAGTGCGGTGAGCCTCGGTCACCCACTGGGCATGTCTGGTACACGACTCGTCGTAGCCCATCTCAGCCATGTACTGCGTCGCGGACAGCTGGGCGTGGCCACCACGTGTAACGGCGGTGGGGGGGGCTACCGCCCTAATGATAGAGAAGATATAGATACCGTAGTCCAATGGAATGAAATTTACATTCAAGGTGAATATTATTATTTTATTACAAAATGTTCAGATAAAATCAATACTATGATATGTACTTATATTTAGCGGTAGGTTTTTGTGTAATTTTGGTCTGGTTTTTAGATAACTTTTATAGTTTTGAGATAAAGCAGTAATAAATAACAAATTAATCTGGGTGCTTTCTAACTCTCTTATTTTTAGCCAATCGGTTCTATATTATGATATAATACAAGCAAATACATACTTGTGTCGCTCCCAGCCAGCGTTGCTTTATGAAGTCTGCAGCGCGTTCTGCGATCATGATAGTTGGCGCGTTGGTGTTCCCAGACGGCGCAGCTGGCATCACGCTAGCATCCGCCACGCGGAGCCGATCGATTCCTTGCACCTGCAAGACAATAAAATAAATTCAGGCCAATTAAAATATTATACACTTAGCAGATAATATTCTACTTAGACAGTTGTATAGCATGCTAACAAGTAATCGATAATAATTTATTGATTTATATATATTAGGTCCTTACATAATATGAAATTGGCGTATTTCGTACTGGCAACTTTAATCACGATGTTCTCCTCTTTGGTAAGGAATTCCAAATTTAAATTTGTACAGCGATTTACTCATGTATTTGTGCTTCGATGACCGTCATTCATTTGTTTTTTTCTTCTGTTTCTTTCTGTTTGCGTCACTCATTTTACAAAATGGAAAACTTAAAGTATCGCATTATTTACGAGTACGAGTTCCGCCGTGGCACTAGTGCTGCGGAAACGACACGAAGGGTGAATGATGTGTATGGCGGTCATGTTGCAAAAGAAAACACAGTTCGTTTTTGGTTCCAACGTTTTCGTTCTGGAAATTTCGACCTGCAGAACAAGCCCCGTGGACGGCCTGAGACCCAAGTTGATAATGAAATATTGAGGGCTATTGTGGAAGCGGATCCATCGCAAACCACGTCCGAGTTAGCTGCAGGCTGCGGTGTTAGTGATAAAACTGTTTTAATTCACTTGAAGCAAATTGGGAAGAAGCTTGAAAGATGGGTACCTCACGAATTGACTGAAGCAAACCGGCAAACGCGCGTCGACTGCTGCGTTACATTACTGAACCGGCACAATAATGAAGGTATTTTAAACCGAATCATTACCTGTGATGAAAAATGGATTCTTTACGATAATCAGAAGCGCTCAGCGCAATGGTTGTATCCTGGCCAGCCAGCCAAATCCTGCCCCAAGCGAAAATTAAGGCCCATTTACAGGATGCCATTTTCTTGTACATACCAGAGCAATAATTGAATGCAATAAATGAAGCGCAATAATTGACGTTCAAGAATTGTATGCAACTGTTTACACTTGAAAACTTGAATGCAATTATTGTATTCAAGTCTTGACAAGGAAATAATTGCACATGCCTTTTGTTTACGTCAATGCAACTATTATTTATTTATTACAACAACTAGGAGATTATTGCTTTCAAGTTTTGACTTGTCTAAACACAGGCTTGTACGTGCGTATACCATTTAATGGCGCTTTCGTTCAAGTATTGCACGTATTTGCGTTGACAAATTTTTCATTCAAGTCTTAAATGTTTTAGAAGAGTGTCGGAGTTTGAATATTATGTAAATATTAAATGTAATAATGGCAGGCAACACTTGTCACATGTAAAGAAATAGTTTTAGTTTAGAATATAAAGAATACCTGTTTGAATTTTATATAAAAAGATAGTTTCTGTTTTTTGTTTTCAGTACTTCTATTCTAGACGCGGATAGTGTAACATCTTTGGCTCTTTATAAACATAAATTATTGTTTTTTAAAATAGACCTTCACCAACAGAGCTCAGTCTTCTTAAAAGATTAGAACCATCCAACAGAGAGGTATGAGTAAAAAGGTGTTTAAATTCAGTTCTGCTGATATAATAAAGTTCATTGAGATTTATCGCAGTCATGAGTGTTTATGGGATACCGAAAATGTAGATTATAAGAACCGATGCACCTAATGCTGAGCTAGCAGCATTTTCACAGGAATTTGAAGTTGACGGTTTCGGACCGAAAGAAATAACAAACAAAATAAAAAAATTTAAACTAAATTAATTTTGTATTTATTTAATTTAACACACCCTCACTCACTGCACTCATGTTTGCAAATGAAGAGATAATTGCGTAAGAAATTATTGTACGTGCTGTTTACATCAATAATAGTTTTGGAAGGAAACTTTTCCCATTGATCAAGAATGTTACGTTTTGTTTAGACCATGCAACTCATTTATTGCGTCGATATAATTGTATGTTGGTAAGAAAATGGCATCGTGTAAATGGGCCTTTAACCCCAAAAAAGTTACTTGTAAGCATTTGGTTGACTAGTGCCGGTATTGTTCATTGCAGTTTACTCAAATCTGGCCAGACTATTACGGCTGATGTCTATTGTCAGCAATTGCAAACCATGATGGAAAAGCTAGCGGCTAAACAACCTAGGCTGGTCAATCGCTCCACGCCACTGCTACTTCACGACAACGCTAGACCACACACTGCACAACAGACGGCTACCAAATTAGAAGAAATTGAATGTCTAAGACATCCTCCGTACTCCCCGGACCTTGCTCCAAAGGATTACCATTTTTTTTTCGAAATTTGGACAACTTCTTGCAAGGGAAAAAAATTAACTCTGATGGGGCAGTCCAAATCGCCTTCACAGATTTTATTGATTCCCATCCGACTGGTTTTTTTAGTAAAGGGATCAATGAACTACCTATAAGATGCCAAAAGTGCATAGAAAACAATGGTTCATACTTTAATTAATGAAATATATTATATTATATTTAAAAATATTCGACTTTTTGTTCCTCCCATACAAAACGCCAATTTCATATGTAAGGACCTAATATATATAATATTACTATTATTTTATACCAACATAAACTATTATACAATATTATATCCCTTCATAATTACTAATAATAACCTGCAACAGCGGGTCGACGCAAGCGAGTGGGTCACCACGAGGCCCCATTCTACATGACCCTGCCTGGTGGTTCTCCGGTCCAGTCTGCATGCGCACCGCACATTCCCAGTAAGCGTCGCACCCGAACCGATACCTTTCGCATCCCTTCACTGAGGTGCGATCCAGCTTTATTCCGTACTTCTTCAAGGCTCCGGTCTCTGACAAGCGGACCGCGAACTTGATGCCCTCAATCAGGGTCTTCACATCATCTGGGTGGGTCAAGTAACTAAAAGTACATGAAATTACGTTGTTATTTTTTGTAATAATTATCCTAGGGGGTATTAATTAAAAAGTGAGAATGAGTAAGACCCAATTATGTTTTATTAAATGTTATTTATGTTTTGTTAAATGTTTTGCTTTAGACATTGCCTTTTTAAAAAATCATCCTGATCTCTGAAAATCGTGTAGAGAGATTACTTTAAATAATTGTAAAACACAATTAACCGACACTTTTTACTGTGCGGAAGAGCATTCGTAGTTACCAATGCTACAATATGTCTTCAGGTGAAATTCAGAAGATAATGTAAAGTAAGAAGCTAATAGCGGTTGATTTATCATAGAAACGTGCAGCTGATATAGCAGACAGCTCTTTAGACGAATATCTTTAAAGCTAGCATACATATGAATAACTAAAGATTGTGACTAAAAAATACTTGTCAAAACGCATCAATGATCTTGTTGAAACCACATGAATGCCTAGGCCGTTCTGGTTCTCTGCATGAAGATAAGGTTAAAGATTTTTTTAGGCTGTAATAGATAGTGTAGTGCAAAGTCGAACATCTTAAAAGACAGTGTTTGAAAGAGATTGGAGTATAAGACATCAGCATATTTTACAGAATAGAAATAAATGATTAATTACTTATGTTGGCGAGATTACAGAATTAAATTTAATAAATTTAAAATGTTGCCTAGAGACTTTACTTTTTATTTCCTTGTGCGTATGTCTATATTTTATTATCAAACCGAAGTTACTAACTTGGCAAAAATCTTGGGATGCTGGAAGGGGTCAGGGCTGGCGATTTCTAGACGGCCACGACTTTTTGGTCGCAGCACAGCAGGAAACATTTGCACAGAACGGGCGCCTTCTCCCTTACTCTCCCCCAACATCCCGGTCTTCGCGCAGTCTGCGAGGAACCCGCCGAAAAACATTTGGATGTCGGGATTGTCTTCCTCCGGGTTTACATACTTTGTGTTGATGAATGCGGTTACTTCAGATATTCCTACAACATTTTAGGGTCTTTTAATGGGATTATTTAAATATCTAGGAAACAGTTAAACATATTATAAATATAGGTAATATTAATGAAAGACTCAATAATTGATATTTTATAACTATTTTTGATTATAATAAAACATTAAAAATATTTATTATAAATTTCTTTACTAACCGGTTCCAGACATGAGCCCGTCACGGAAGAGAAGATACTCCATAGCGGTGGCCCAGTTGAGAGGCGCGGTATTGTTGTCTTTTAAGTAGAAGCTGAGGAAATGCGTGACGTGGTTGTGAAGGTTGCGACCCACACCAGGCAGCTCATGGATTACCTCCACTCCCGCCCGATTCAATACGTCCGCGGGACCCACGCCGCTTAGCTGAAGCAGTTGTGGACTCCCAATGGCGCCAGCGCTGTCAACGTTAGTCTTTCTTCTTAACTTATACTTACGAGGCATGCCTTTTAAGTTTTGTCGTTTGCAGAAAAAAACACAACTAGAACCTTATAGTACTTTTTATTGTTTTTCAAAGTATTCACCACGTAGCTTAATACACTTTTCCATTCGCTCAAACCAGTTATTATAACATTAATTCCACTCTAAAGTGGAGGTGTTCAAAATGGCTGATTTGAAAGCGTCGACTGCTTCTTCACCGGACTGGAACCTTTGACCACGAAGACTTTTCTTAATTTGTGGAAATGTAAAGAAATCGTTAGGGCTTAGGTCAGGACTGTATGGAGGTAGTCAAGAATTTCTTCTTTTCCTGCTTCAAATACTGAATTGTTTGACGAGCGCTGTGTGAGCTTGCGTTGTCGTGGTGCAGGATGATGCGTCGCTTTAAGTTAGATTTTCGAAGTTTGGCGATGACTTGTGGTAAACAAACTGTGGTATACCACTCTGCGTTAACCATTCTACGATCTTCAAGTGCAATAGTCGCAACATGGCCGGTTTTTCCAACGAACGTGGCCACCATCATCTTTGAAGTGCTTCGAGAACGAACGAGTTTAGTCGGCTTTGGCTCGTCTTGAAAGACCCAGATTGTAGATTGTTGTATGGAATCAGGATCGTAGGCATAGATCCAAGATTCATCATCACTGATGATGTCATAGTCGTGATTTGACTCTCTTCGGTTGAACCTTTGCAGAGTTTTCTTACACCATCTGACGCGGGCCGCCTTGTGATCGTCGGAAAGCAGATGCGGTATCCAACGGCAAACTAGCTTTCTCACACCAAGCACTTCATGCAAGATCTTCTGAATGGTTGTCCCTGAGATGCCTAATAGAGCCTCTATCTCTCGATACGTCACATGACGATCTTCGAGAATTAATTGTCTCACTGCAATGATGTTTTCTTCAGTGAAGGCGGATTTTGGGCGTCCTTCGCGAGATTTGTCACTAACACTAGTATGTCCACGCTGGAATTCGAAATACCAGCGTTCGACAGTCCGCAGACATGGGGCTTCATCACTGAACACAGATATTAGCTCTTCAAAACACTGAAGCTGTGTCAGGCCTCTTCTAAAGTTGTAGAAAATTATTGCACGAACATTTTCCTTAGAAAGATTCATTTTCGTACGTAACTTGACAGATTCAAATCGACGCTGTGACTAAACAATAGCATTAATCCTAATACTTTTAACTGTTTTGAGATTCAAAATGTAAACACATTCGAAATGTACAGGTCCAAATTCAAAATTGCCGGGAAATATGGAAACGACAGAACTTAAAAGGCATGCCTCGTATTTGTTAATAGACAAGAATATAGGCAGTACACAAATTGTTTTCTATAAAATGCGAATTAAATATTTTGTCCATCCATCTTTTTAGTTAGATAAGTACGTAATATACTTAAATCAAAGAGATCAAGGTATAATTAATATTTTCTTTCATAATAAAATATCGTTCAAATGTTCGTTGTAGATTAAGCGGAATCTGTAACATAGATATTCACCATACAGCTTACCCCTTTATCTTACCCCCATCTGGCTAAGTCCATTGAGCGTTTTGTATAATATATTTTATTTAAGAAATAAATTATCATTTTCAAGTCACCTCAGTATAATTTCGTTATTAGCAAAGACGGTCTCGGAACGGCCGTAAGAGTTGATAATATCGACAGCGTAGGCGCGCCTCGTGGTGGTATTGATGCGTACTCGGGCCGCTGTGGCGTTAAGCATCACGTGTAGATTGGGGCGATGCCTCGCGGGACGCAAGAATGCCCGCGCCACGCTCACTCGAGACCCGTTGCGATGCGTTGTTTGAGCAATGCTGAAGCCAGTGTGGATTGCTCCATTTAGGTCACGGACTTGATAACCTATAATTGGGGGGATTTTAGTTAAGATTTTAAAATGGTTTACATCTACTTTTACCGTCAGCTAGACATTCAAAGCTACAAGCGGGTAATTACCTAGCTCCTCTCCGGCTTTAAGCAGACTGTGACTGAGTGGTGGATGATAGGGGAACTGCTCCACCGTGAGAGGGCCACCCGTGCCGTGGTAGCCATCGTCGACGTCATGCATCTGTCGATTGTCCTCGGACTTGATGAAGTAAGGAAGGACATCATCGTAGGCCCAGCCATCGTTGCCGGCAGCCGCCCATCCGTCGTAATCGTGTCGGGAGCCTCGCATGTACATCATACCGTTCATCACCGACGTACCGCCCAACACCTAATGACGAAACAAAACTAAGTACATACATTTTTAGATGGTTAACGATGCAGGTGCTGCAAGAAATAATACTACCGAAAAAGAACTTATAAACACTAGGTAAGAATTTTTTCCTCTAATATGTTTATTACCCTAATAATTAAACCATACCTTCCCACGCGGCCAGTAACATTTGCGGTCTTTCTCCCCAAGGCACGCGGCTGGCTCGGGTTCCGTGTGGTACCCCCAGTCGATGGCAGATCCGATAAAATTCAGAAACATGGACGGCACCTGCGTCCCCGTCGGCTCGTCGAAGCCTGAACATATAGAAATGGCTGGTGGTCAGTGGTTACTTGCAAATTTCGTGATCAATCGTTAGGTAATCATTGCAATGAATGCTGCAAAATATTGTTATTGGTCATTTTATTTTCGTTTAGTTATTGGTATTTGTCACCAGCAAATTAATAAGCAATGTTTGAACAATTTGTTCTAATTATTTATATTACCTTTCCAATCTACTCTTTATTAGTTAAACACTTGGAAATAATGTCTATTGATTCGTTTAATTTTATACAAAACCAAAATATGCGAATAAAATTATGACTGTTTTGAAATTCATCATTTATCAGTCAATGTCTGCAGTATATACCGCACCTGCCTCTAATAATAACACCCTCCACTGAGGCACCTCCGACAGCCTCGCGGCGAGCACGGAGCCCGCTGATCCACCTCCCACCACGATGAAGTCATAAACTGAATCCATTTCGCGACGAAACTGAAAAATACATCTCATTAAATCTCCTTTTACAAATAATAAAACCAATTTGTTTTATTAACTAGTCCGGTTCTCTTACATGTAATTTTGGTTTTATTATAATTCATCTTTCGCAGCTATGTAAGGAGATGAGTAAAACTAAAGTCATGTCACCAAGATCACTTATGGATTATGCAATACAAAAGAACTTGAGTAGCTTATCAATTACCACTAAGTACAAGTGTGGTACAACACGCACGGGTATATAACACCCTAGAAGATGGATGTTTATCAAAGCGTATAAATTTTCATCATTGTTTCGGATCGGGGTGAGTGCTTTTCCGTGTTGATTTATCAGTTTCCCATACACTTGTAGTTTCCATCTAGCATATAAACATATTTAGAAGTAAGTTCTTTACATAATTCTACCCTTTGTCATAACATGCCATTATCGACATCAAAGGCGAAGGTTCAGATGCTTGGGGCAAAGACACGACGGACCGCAATGACTTGTACACTTATATAACATTCAGATATCTTATTGGACTTATGTACCTTTCTGAAACGGAATAAAATAAAGGCAATAGGGACACACGTAACACGATAGGCACGATTAATGTTCAACCGAAATAGGAATTATCCATTTTGGATTTCGGTTAACCTATTTGTAAACAATTATCCCTTATACCTGTGGCCTCCCACACGGGTCTTCAAGATCGCATTGACTGCGCAGGAACACTTCCAGCAGTCCCATAAACAGCATGAAGGCGCCGCCGCCGCAAGTCGCCGCTAACGTAGGCCCTGGCTGCGACATTGGACAGTCGCATGATAGCGCCATCTGGATGTATTTAATTTTGAATTACAAATGTTTCGAAATAAGTGACAAATTACTATTAATATTTAAATGACCATTAATTTTCGTTTTGGATCGAATTTTACATTCGTGGGCATGATATCCTTCACCTAATGCAGTCAAGGCTGGGCGAAAGTGCTGTCATAGAAACAGAGTGACAGAACACATCCATTATAACTGGTTACAACCATAACTTATATGACGGGGTCACATATCACTAGCTATCAGTATTGAGATCTAGTTACAAGGTTTTGTTTGGTTAGGTAATAAGTTTTCACTCTACTTAGCAAGTGTGTTTGTCTATTTATTTGTGCTTTTGAAGTCTTCGGGAGCAAAATAAACTTAACTTAATTCACGATTACGTAGATGCGTAAAACTCTAAAAACGCAACGAAATTATTATTTAAACTTGAACTGACCAAGTTATCTAATAGTTACAATGAAATATTGCTCCAAATACAGCAGTTTGAATATTAATTCAATCAGTTACGCCTCCGTGCTTACTCAACCGGTGCGGGCTTTCGGTACTCGGTAGTCATTGATTGACCATAAATAATAGACATTTCTTTCAAGTAATCACATTTCAACAGGTCATATTTATTGTGTACAAAAATTTAATAAAGACATGCAATATATGTAATCTGGTCTGAGAAAATTTAATCTTAAGAATTCTGTGAAAGTCTTTGACAGTCTAGGATAATTACTTGAGGAATTAGTTTTTTTTTCTATATAAATGTAACTATTCTAATCAACATAGTGCTTTATTTTGCGTAATTAATGTATAAAAAATGTTAGTCATCATATCAGATCGTCAAGAATTATTGCAAAAGATTCACAACGTGACCTCGTGACCCTTTGACTACGCATTCGTAAGACTATAATGGATAGTTTAGTAACCAAAAATTGCTTATTGTGTACGAATAATACTCATTTAGCTATGTCTGGTCATTCGGGACTTTTCTTGCGTGTCCACATATTTTGTTCGTTGACAGTAGGTGACTTTTGTGTGGCTAACATAATAATGGCCAATGCATTGACATTTACCCATAAAAAACGTATCAGCCTGATATTAAGTATTGTTGTCGAAGTAGAAGATGAAAAAAAACGTAAATAGCTTTGGTTTTACCATACATTGAAATAAATAGAAATTCGATTTTTTTGTAGTCGACATCAGTTATCCAGTCATTCTCCTTTTTTCTCCTATTTACCAATATAATGTAACATTGTTCACATTAAAAAATAAAATAAAAACGTGTCCGCAGCTCACAATCTGCTTCAGTTGGACTGACATTTATTCAACGTCAAAAGCATCAAACTTGCAATGTTATTCATATTTAATTATTTATACAAAGCATGCTTTAAGAATAATAAATATACACGACCATTTTGCAATTAATGCGGAAGCCGAGATAGCATCCGACGCGAATGCGGCAACTCGTAACAATTGTTGTGATATGAAGATTTTCGTCACAAAAACCTACTGCTTAATTATTAATTAATTCCCTAAAGATAGCGTCATAACTTCGTCAATAACTTTATCTAATACTTATTTGGTGTAGATGAACTTCACGTGATATGCATGTGTTGTTAAAAATAGTGAATTATATTGGAACTAATTAACAAGAATTCAAAGTGAATTCAGTTAAAAACTAAGACAACGTGTACCACAATCGTTCTCGTCCCGATTCACACGCTCTGGCACAATCTATTTTACGCTTTAAATCCCATTATATACAATTTTTTGACTACAATTTTACGTTGCCTTTATTCTTATCGAAACATGACCGTAACTTAAATCCTTTATGCTGCTTAACTAGGTTTTTGACCAATACACTGTATAATATACTTAAGGTAGGTATGTACTTGCATTGAATATCGTGCATTACTCACACTACATTACATAAATTAAATCATTATAATTAATATTATTTAAATTACTTTAAACGTCTTTGATCAAAGCTGACTCTAATGGCAGGCCTGGTCATAGGATATGAAAGAAATCGGTCCTGCTTATATAAATGAATTGGTATCGACATGTCACAAACCGGGTCGACGTGTCACCATGTACCTGCTCTTACATAACGCACTGTATGTTGTATGTGCAAGAAAAGTTCAACTTCAACTTAATATATAATATGTTACATTCATTTAGCACTTTCGTCCCATTTCTGGTTGAGGCTTCCTCGTTCTTTACATCTCTTTAAAAATTATGGTGTCATTAAAAATCTATATTTGACAAAATTAACAAATAATTAATTAACTATTGATTAATGCGAGTTTACGAGATAACGATTATCTACAGTATATAATGTTATAACGTATTTATAAATGGTGAATTATGAGCTTTCAATCCCGCAGTGCAGTGAGAGGATCCTCGCGTAATGTCAAGGAGCTTTGCGATTCAAGACAGTTTAATCTACTTGAAATGCTGGATGATGCATCTAATAAACAGTTTGATCGCTCTGAAGTCATTTTATTTGCACTGCAATGAATCGTTTTAATAGTATTACATTCTTCTTCATGAAGAGGCAAACATGATATGTACAGATTTTGGTGGATTTTCGATGTTGTCGTGTGATAATGTCATGATGTCTGTACGTAACTACTACTACACAAGTCAAGTCCTACACGGTAAAATCGGTCCGTACAACTCTAGAACTTTTGACATTATTAGTTAAATTATAAAGACTATCACATGTTGCGCTATCGTTTCCATAAGTTTTATTTAAACAAGTCTAAGTTTATTTCTATTTATTCATCTTAATTATTAATAATTTATACACCAACTTAATAATATAAAAATAATCTCCTGAACGCCTTGAAATTTGCGTTAAGAATAAGAAAACATATTTGTTCTTAAATTGACATTGATATTTAAAGCACATTAAACAATTTAAATTTTAAAAAGGCTTATGCAACTTTTACTAAAATGAATACAGTATTTAAGTGTCATAATATGGCAACTTGGCAAAATTAACTACCAAAGCGAAATGACATAACTCGCTGTTAATTAGCTATTAATAGCATACAATTTATTTCTCTGTCAGCTGTCCGAGTGATGGTTTTACCATCTTAAATACATGGCTATCATTTATCACTAGCTGAGGCAGAAGGCAATGGCGTAACTATACCATCTGGGGCCCGTGGCAAATTCTTTTGATGGTGCCCTATCAGTAAAAATCGTCACGTTGTGCTCAGTTTAGTTTTAATACATTTTTAGATAAGATTTTTAGCGTACTCAATTACGCGTTGTATATATGTCCCACTAATGGCACTAAGCCTCCTCTGTTAGGCGAGAGGGAATGGTCTGTAGTCCCCACGCTAGCCCAATTATTGGAGACTTCACATTCCTCCATATAACATAATATCTCTTGGGCAGGGGCTCTCTCGGGTCGGGGTCCCGTGGCATTTTGCCAGCCCTGCCACCCTTTTGTTACGCCACGGGCAGAAGGCGAGTGAATTAAATATATAGTTTCTTACTCTACTTGTAATAAAAAGCTATTTAACGATGATACTACTCGACACGTTAGTAAAATATAATTAATAAATAGGAAACCGGCTTTAGTGCGATACTTTGTGAGTTATACAGCAGTATCCTTTTTAATTTAAGACCAAAATACCGTAACTAATATTTATTGGAACCGTAATTAGGTCGGCCCTTTTGATGAGGTAAATAAAATGGAATGTATCATTTAAATCTGATAGAGAAATCACATTCATGCAACTTCTATATAAGGCTATAAAAAGTAAGAACAGGAAATCACAAAAACAGGAGTATTCATATTATTTCAGTTTAAACAAGAATAAACTAAAGAAATTAAATGATGATATCGAAGTTAATTATCGTAAAGTCCATTTCAAAACACATTAAACCCTTTGTTCATATAAGGAAACTTTCCCTCGAAGTCCTTACTCCGTGTAATGTCAATGTTGAGCTCAATTTATGAACACGACCACCATTAAGGATCTTAGTAGTAGTTCTCACAGAATCAAATACGTAGCTTTAGAAAGTCATCTTGAATATTCATGTATCTTAGAACATTATGGGTAAAATGTTCTGTATTTTTTAACCCAGCCCAAGAATGTTAAGCCGCACTAGAAGTATTTAATTTTTAACAGAGTCAAATAACAGCTAAAATAATACGCAATTTGACCCAAATACCGAAAATCAATGTGTTTTTAGATCGCAACGAGCGCCTAATGTGCGGAAAAACCAAGTATCTATAGCTTAGCTTAGAAATGAAATCTTTATAGTTTAAAAATTGAAATAAACGTTTAAATTTATTTTAAATGCATATTATTACAAATCTTTGAAATAAATCAATATTTTAAGTATATTATTTATTGGTCAGATAGAATGTTTCATTCTACTGAATCTCTTATAATAAATAAATATGTTAAAATAAAAATTAATGGTCGGAATAGTAGTGGTCAAGCGATTAGAAGCGGTAGAGGTTGCTTCATCATTTCGCGTAATCTAACGGTGACCGACATCAGCGGTCTTGTGATTGTTTGCAGCACGCACTTCTCAATTCCCTTCGTCAGGCTTCAGAATAAGATTTAATCAAGTGTGCCTTCAGAGTGGCGATAATTGTCTTGGCGGTAGAATTTAGACAGCAAGTGTGTTATAATAAAATTACAAGAAGTCAATATATTATTATAATAGACTTAAAAGTCCATTAGACATGATGTAAAATGATCTAGGTGGTAGGCAATGCTCCGTAATGACGTTTATTAAGAACAAAACAATATAGATACGAGGAGATAGATTATGGAGGAACTTGCACAATTCCATTATGAGCTCAACGTATTCACTACTTCCTCGGCACTCGGGATTTAATAACGAACCACACAAATCTATTTATAGAAGTAAAAGAATTATTAAAAAGTTTAAATGGATAAAGATAACTTTGAATTTATTTAATAAAATTGATTAACATAGATGTTTCTCATTCTTACTTAAAATTACTTTATTTTGAAAGCAAT